AGCCAGATGACCACCGAGACACATGCCTGTAGACGTTGTAAGCTCAAGAAAGCAATCTAGCGCTAGATAGATACTTACCAGTGGCACCAACACGCCCATTGCAGGTCGGCATATCAAGTAGTGTATCAACTGACAGTGTGGCGTCCTCATCATAAGCTTCTACAGTCTTGGTAATCTTCCACTCGTTCCCCTTGTCAGTACCAGGTCCATCATAAGCGAGTGCTTCTGGGCCGGTAAATTCGTGATACGAAGAGGGCGCTGCAACAATGTAGCCTTGGGAGGCTATCTGTCGGGCGAAGCGAGCAACAGGCCCCGTGACTGGAGATATTAGCCAGTTTTACATGTATTACCTTCTCTAAACAAGTCCAAACTTTATATAGATGAATCTTAGACCCATGCATGGATACGCTGAGTAGATACCGCTGCAACCAAGACTAGCCGGCTCTCGTGCATGAAACTGCGTCTTAGTGACACGTACCCGGTTGTAATATACCAGTATGCTGTAGGGTTCTGCAACTAGAAACTAGGGCATACCTTGATATATCTCCGAGAAGACGACCACTCCAGGAAACTTTGCTTTCGGGTAGTTTGGAACTGTGGGATGGAAGATGAAGATTCCTAACCTCTTGTCAGTTCCATGCTGCCACCGTGAGTGGCTGCCCCGTACTCATGTCACCACCCGCCTTGGTCGGTACATCTTTGTGTGTCTCTGTGATAAGCATTTTGCTAGTTGCTAGGCTGGATGTGTTCTGTGTTTGTGGTCTAGGCGTCGTTGTGGGAGGTGAACGTTGGCGAAGTGGGGTGGTGGGGTAAACCAGCACGGCCTATTTTGCTTTTTAAAAGAGTAGTCGCGACCATGACGACGTGACTACACAAATTGTGAAATGGAAGCGCAAGTTGCAAAGGTGAAAGCCGTAGATAATACTATGGATATGTTGCATTCAAAACTGTACGTGTATTACTTCTGCTCTTGGATTAAATGAAATTGTGAAGATTTCCAGATTTGCTGGCAGATGCCGTTTGCAAGCAAGCCAGTGGTAGAAGGTAAATTGGAACCAAGATGGAGAATAAGCAATACGTCAGATGGTGATGAATGACTAGCCGCAGAATACACTTATCCAGGTCTGATGATACATAGCTCAAACGGAGCTGCGTAGTCGACAAAAGCTTATTCCAGTGCCATGGATGCCCAGTGGGTCATTGGGTAGCGTTGGTGGAGCTTCTTCGGGTGACAGCTGCATGATGATGTCAATCCTCAGGTAGTTGTCAACTTCGGTGGTATTCAAAGCCAGAAATCTCAGGAAATAAGATGATGCGACAAGCACGGTTGCAGCGGCACTTGCCCATGGAGCCCTACTGGCTTGGTACCTTGGGCGAATCTGACGGATTGACAGTTGAGCTTTGTTTAGGCCTCACCGCTAACGGCGTGATGTCGGCGACGATGGTTACATTTCAAAATAACGGCGGAAGTGCAGTGTAGGGCCAAGATGCGCATTCGGACAGGAAGCAGAAACGCCGGTAGCCGCTTATCCTGTCACTGGATTTGGCGAGGCTGCACGGTATGAAGCGAGCGATGTCGCCTCGAAAGCCGTTGGAACAACTGCCAGGGCGTTTGTTCGGTTAAATATGGCGGTGAACAAGTAGCAAAGCCGAAGCATGCCATGCCGCGCTGTGTTGCACGGCATGGTCTCTTGCGCAATGGCCGTGAGCTCCCATAATGACCCAGGTCGGAATTGGCGGCTATGTATGGGGAACGAGCATGGCATGAAGGGCTACTATGCAGTTTCTGCAGAGGAGCTGCAGCAGGTGGTGTGATGGTTGGCAAGCAGTGAGGGGGCCTCTTCATCGTGAGATGCTGCCAACATGGTGTTGAGGGGTTGCGAGCAGGGATGCGAATGCTTTCCCGTCTGTCACGTAACAGGCAAGTGGGGGGTGGGCGTTCCCCGAAAAAATAGTCAGCCTCACAGAACGTGGCTTGAGCCGCTTCATGACAACGCAGCAGTGGATTGCGGTGGACGATCTGCTCTGCCTACGAGTCCGCAGCCCAATGTATATCATCGATGAAGACTCGGAGACTGGCAGAGCCGTCAGCGGCATGTCATCTCGCAGCACACGTCTATGCGATCAAATGGGCACACGGACACCCCCTGTCGGGAGTGCAGGGGCGTTATGCAAGAGCAGGTCCTGTATGGTTCCGCTAAGCGGAGAAGGAGTGGAGGGTCTGGCGCTACTATCGTGTTTGATAGCGACGCCGTGTGCTACTCATCGTGTGCATCAGCTCACCAGGCCGGGATAGCCGCACCATGCTGGACGGCCATGTCTCTGGCACGCAGTCAGATGAGCGATCCGTGGCCTTGTTGAAACTGGGCGTCGGCCGCAGGGGCGCAGAGTGGTACTGTTCAGAACAGAGTGCAAGGTTCGAGCACCGAGAGTGATGAGCGACGGTAAACGCGGGACAGGGTCCAGCAGGCGAGCAGTCGGGCTTCGTGCGGCGTAGTCGTAATGGAAGTACGTTGAGCGCTCCTCATGTGACGCAACGTGTGACTGGCGTCCCCGTCACCGGCTCCCATGTCTGACAGATGATACAAACTAGTGAGTCGAATGGTGGGTGTCTGGAATTCGCCGCGGCAGTGTGCAGTGTGCAGTGTGCAAAGGGCCTTTCTCAGCGAACAAAGTGCTCGCAGGTCTGGAGAGTAGTGCAGTGATATGGCGTCAGGCTGGGGCACGCCACGGTTTGCCTGTGTCGCATATTGGCCCGAGTGACAAGCGTCGGATCTGGTGGCCAGCTAGTCCAGTCTATACTGTATGCAGGCCCTGCTCGGCAAAGGCGCAACTCGCAGCACACGGCGGCCGTCTATCACGACATGGTCTGTCGCTCCATGGTGAGCAGGGCGGAATGTTGTGGTTGCATGTCATGGTGTAGATGTTGTGTGTTTCTGCGCTGCAGCAGGTCCTAGTTGGACCTCACAATTCATCTCCTTGCAAGTGCCTCTCCTCCTATTCTCCTCGACTACTCGACCCCCCGTCGTCGGCCTCTTCCATAGCACGGCCGTGGGCGGGCAACAATACTCGAGCGGGAGTGTTTTGTGAGATTCCAGCCAGGGATGCCAGGAAGGTGCGTTCGCTAGCGCTATCTCCGCCCCGGCCAATCACAGTTTGCAGGGGGATACTGACCCAAGTCGGTCTAACAAGCAGCCTTTTGATGCCCTCTTGATGCCTTTGGGCTGCGCAAGCATAAGCATTTGCAAGTCCTCCTGGTCTCCTTCAATCTTTGCTCTCGTGTTGCCCTGCCGCCGCCCGCCACCCGCAGACTCGACTTGTTTGCTGTATCCCGCCTCCGCCCACGTCGCAAGCCCTGCTACTGGCCCCTCCAGATCCCCGGCCTAACCAAGGCGGCACGCCCGTGTTTGGGAAGCCATCTAATTTCTTGTGCTCGTCCGCCTCCCCACCCAAGCATTCACGCTCGTGTTAGCCCATATCAGCCCCTGCGCCGAATCGGGCCTCGTCCCTTTCTTTTTCCCCAGCTGCACCGCCAGCAAGTGTGCGCCCCGGGACGTCTTTTCTCCTGGCCAGTATCTCTTATCCCGGGTGCCTGCTGCATTCGCTGCTGCAGCTCCTACAGGCTCACATCTAGAACATCGCCCGCCCTAGTGCTACGGCCTGCCGCCAGTGGGCTGCACTCCCTGTGCCGCTGCAGCTGCATATTATCTGCTTGTCCGCCTTCAAGTTGCCTGGGTCTCCTGTCCAGGGCACCAGACCATTTCCTGCTGTAAGTATGTCAAGTCCAATCCCCCACTGCCAAGCCTTGCTCCGACAGCGCCGCCGCTTGACACGGTGACTGCCCGTCGAGTCACTGAGCGAGTGCAAGTTTGCGCTGTGCTCTCCAACTTTGCTAACTGGGCAGTACCTAGGTCGCCGCGTCCTACTCAAGCCCCGACGTGCTTCGCGAACACCCCGCGACACAAAACTTTCCCACGGGCCACTCCCTCGACACGCGGCCCCATAATAAGCCCCCGTTAAGAAATAACAAACCGTCCTTCTTTCCACTGTCTGCCACGGAGCCCTGTATGCAGTCGTGGTCTGCAAAGCTCTCATCATGGACACCGAGGACGGCACCATCTTCATAAGGGTGCGAGACACAACAACTGGCTTAGGCGCACATTTGGATTGACATGTTTGCAGAACTTGGCCTACTTTGTACGCACACACGAGAAGGCACTCGCCAATGCCCTTCAACTGCAACGGCAGAACCCCAAGAATGGCCAGGCCATCACCTCGCCCTCGTCGCCCAACGGCCCCGCGAGCCCTCCGACCGCCTCATCTTCGAGTGTCTGGGCTGCCGCTCTGTCTCTGCCCTCCCTGACCTTCACTTCGCAGTCGATCAAGCCTGCAAAGCTCACACTAACGCCTCACCATCTTTTCTACATTCTCTCCCGCTTCGAAGATCTCAGCATACCCGTTGGTCCCATGAATGTGCGATTGGAGAACATACACACTGACAACGCCCCTACCAACTATGTCTCCTTTCTCGGGAGCGCTCAGCGCAACAAGACAAAGTCTTCCGACCGTGACTCCGTCCATTCAGTGTCCAGTGTCCGCAGTGTCATGTCAGGCATGTCCTCACTTTGGTCCTCTTTCCGCATCGGATCTACCAGTGAAGCAAAGGCAGAGAAGCAAAAGGCCCAGTTGCAGGAAGACTTGAGATATCTGTACTCTGCCTTCACCAAGATTCCTTGCCTCCGCCTCTCTCCTGACCACAAAGCTCGTCTTATTTCAGGCTATGAAGAGTTTCCCTTCGACACTGCGGTCCCCTTGTTCGCTTTCAAGAACGTTACTGCACTTGAGATTCACGATGTAGACTTTCGTCAATTCTATGGCTGGGACCGACTAGCTGAGAACCTACGCAGCCTCACCGTCAAGCGAGCAGGTGTTGATGACCCCGCTGACCTACTCATCAACGTCGTGTTGGATGACATGGACAAGCGTCGCAGGCGCTCGGCCAAGACCAATACCTCTTCTGCCCCTTGGTCTGCTGCAAGCCCAACTGCGAAGCATGCTCAAATGGCTCGTTCAGACTCGCCTCCATCATCACCCACCGTTGGAGGCAAGCAAAGCACGAGTCCGAGGTCAGCCACTGCGACACGAGAGAGCTCTTCCAGGAGTGGCCAGCGACAGCGTAGTACATCCCCAAACCGCCCGCCGAGTTCCCGCCATGGTGCCTCCCATGTCTATGGCAGGAGCACCAACAGTGCACCAAACATCCGCCGTTCATCTGGAAGCTCCAGCTCCAGTGTGCGCTCTACAACCCCCAGGGGCAGTTCTTCCAACCTGCTTTCCCTGGGCTGGTTTCCAGCTACTAAATGGCGGTTTCTCAGGCATCTTAGCCTGGCTGACAATGCTCTCACAAACATATCAGCTGCCAGCCTTGCTCCGTTGACAAACACACTACAGTCTCTTGACCTCTCAGCAAACCTTTTCGCCGAAATTCCGGATAGCCTTGCTACACTGACCTGTCTTCGTGCCCTCAACCTATCTAATTGCATGATTGACGGCCTACACTCCTTAGGACGTAATCCGTTACCAGCCATTACAACGCTCAACCTTCGATCAAACCGCCTTACGTCGTTGGCCGGTGTTGAGCGACTACTGTCTCTGGAGCGCGTTGACTTTCGGGACAACAGATTGACTGACCCGACCGAGGTGGCTCGACTCACCTGTGTGCCTGATATTACTGATGTTTACGTCAACCGCAATCCCTTCTGCAAGACGCACACCAACTACAGGGTCACCATCTTCAATCTCTTCCGCAAGACGCCGGGCTACACCGAGGACATTGTCATTGACTCTACAGGCCCTACCAGCGCGGAAAAGAAACTGCTCGTTGACCGGGTACCAGAAGTTCGTGGCGTTCCTATTGTGAAGCCTCCACCCGAGGACGACACGCAACACTTGCCGCATGTTCCTCCAAAGGTGGTCAAGGCCGTGGATAGCCCAGCCGACCTGCCCGGTATGCTTCAACGTGCGGGTTCACTCCAGCGTACAAAGAGTGGGCGCAGTGGGCAAGAATCGCAAAAGAAGAAGAAGGGCCCCAAGAGACGAATCGTTGAGCTTTCTCAAGCCGACTCTATGCAATCATCGTCTCAGTCCAGTTTGACCGGTCTTGCATACGAGGATACCGCCATCGGACAGGCCCCCAGGGTCATGAAATCTGTCAAGACTACATCTGCCTCGGACACACCTCGGTTCGAGGAGCCGTCAGGGCAAACATCGGGCGACCCTACCAAAAAGGACACATCAGACGGACGTGCAGTTGCAGACGAGACCCACACGAGCCATCAACAACTGCCACCCATCGACACGTCGACTGCCAAGTCGTCCGACCCACAGTCTCCGGAGTTTGATGTCAGCGATGACCTATACAAGAAGAAAATTGAAGCTCTTCGACAGGATTTCGGCAACACATGGCTGAGCGCGCTAGGAGATGAAAGTTGGGACACGACATCAGTGACTAGCTTTCCATCGGATCGCGGATACAACTCTCCTACTATTCGACCGACACTGCCTCGTACCCCCAGCCAGAGTATCGCCTCTGGCCGGACACTCGGCTAGTTCCCACATCGCATTCGCGATGCATGGGCTTGGGGACCGCGCAACACTTTCGTTGCCTTGTTACCTGATTTATACACTTTTGCGATACCCAAAAGATTTCTTTTTGCCTCATCAGATTTCTATTTTAGCTTGCAGAGGCAGTCACTTTCCTCTCTAATTTGCACATTTCGGCACGGCGTTGGAATACTATCGGATTACGAATCATGGAGCGCGGCAAAGTGCTACGCTCGTGCCGATAAGATCCATCTCATCTCTTTTTTCAACTTGGTGGCGGTTTTTTGCAGAGTCAGAAAAGGCGGTGCGGTTGCATTTCCAGTTTCCTGCTTGTGGGTCTTGTAAGATATTCGTATCCCGGCGCTCTGTCTGTTGATTGCTTGCTCTCATTGGCGACGAGTATACGGCCTCTCTTTTTCCTCCAGCACGTAACGACGTCGAGATGGGGCGTGGGCGGAAGAAAGAATGGGCGTTGGTTGATTTATTGCATAATGAGCGCGCATGTTCGGGTAGATGCTCGCATGAATACGAGAGCTGATTGTTCATTACCTGAGATTGCTTGGCCTGTTCTGACGTGCATTGTGTTGAGTTGTGGTGCGTGGTAGTGGTACGAGTCTGGCAGGTTGTGGCGGTGAGCACGTGAAGACTGCTTCACTGGCGGCGTCAACGGATGCGGGATGACGACTAACGGATGACGGAGACGGAACCATGGCTGCGTCCATGTATGGTCTAGGTGGCAAATACGAGCCTAGGGACATTGTTTATACTCTGACTAGCGCATAAGAAACATTTGCATAGCTGGTTGTGGTGGTGGTGCGTTCTGTTTGAGACGGCACGCCCGAGCCGTCGAGTGGCACTGCCTGGCGTATATACCTACATGTGGTAATGAAGGCTGTCAGCCCAACGTGACGACAACAATAACAAGCTACGTAGGGTTCAGATGGCGAAAGAGAGGCAAGAGGAGGGCGTCTTTATCTTGATGTGAATAGTGCTAGGGTAGCAGAGGCGAGGGCCCGTCGTCTTTTATGTTGTCCTTTGCTATGGCACCGACGCGCGTCTGTGTTGGGCTAGCAGCGACTTGCGCCAAGCCAGGCCTAGGTCTGAAACCGAGCCTACCTCTGCAAAACTACTCAGGCGCTGCGATCCTCCTACCACCGCAACCCAACCCGGCCTTCGACTCACTGGAAACATTTTCTCTTTCACCCTTTACCCCGACTCTACAGCCTTTGGTAGTCGTACGCTCCTCGCGCCGCCAACCTCGTGAGCCTTGCCGTCCCCACTCGTCCAGGCGGTGAAGTCACTCTTAGCATCCCACTCGACAGGCTCCGGCCACAACAACGCCTCAGCGATCCCCCCCGCTTCCCTTCGCACTCGCGCTCGACTGCCCACGGCGTAGCCCACACAGGTATCAACGTCTCAACAGGCACAATTGACAAGCACAATTTGCACCCGCCCCACCCGTCGCGTGATCCCACCTCTGCCGCCAGGCACTTCTGAGGGGCTTTGAGCCATACTCCACACCGCGATAGTCGTCAACACTTCTGCGACGCCATTCTGACCACACATCGTTCCCGGAGGTACGTCGCTGCTGCTTTGCTGCTGTGCATGTTGTGCACCTACCCCATTGTCGTTGCCTGCATCCAACGCTCCTGCTGCCGCCGTCGTGGCGGTCGCTACGGCTGTTGCGTCACCTAGACGTGCCCGATAGCGACGATCCGAGCCTTGCTAACTCGCCCTGCGCAGGAGAAACATCCACTGCTAGTGCTACGCGCAAATCTTCCTCACCCACCCGCGCGAGGTCCTCCCTTGCACCTTCAACCACGCCCATCTAGCGCCTGTAGCAAGCCACAGCTATGGCCGAAAACGAGGTGGACTTGGACTCTATCATAGACCGCCTGCTCGAGGTCCGCGGTAGCAGGCCCGGCAAGCAGGTGCAGCTGCTGGAAACTGAGATCCGCTTCCTGTGCACCAAGGCGCGCGAAATCTTCATTTCACAGCCCATTCTGCTCGAGCTTGAGGCGCCTATCAAGGTTAGTCACGACATGCCGTGCTGCAGAACTCAACTGTACGACTTGTGAGTACATGCTGACTAGTTTTTCCACAGATTTGCGGAGATATCCACGGCCAGTACTACGACCTTTTGCGGCTGTTTGAGTATGGCGGCTTTCCTCCAGAGGCCAACTATCTCTTCCTAGGTGACTACGTCGACCGTGGCAAGCAGTCGCTCGAGACCATATGCCTACTTCTTGCGTACAAGATCAAGTACCCCGAGAACTTCTTCGTCCTTCGCGGCAACCACGAGTGCGCCTCGATCAACCGCATCTACGGATTCTACGACGAGTGCAAACGAAGATACAACATCAAGCTGTGGAAGACATTTACCGACTGCTTCAACTGCCTGCCCATCGCCGCTATCATCGACGAAAAGATCTTCACCATGCACGGCGGTCTGAGCCCGGATCTGAACTCAATGGAGCAAATCAGGCGCGTTATGCGACCGACCGATGTGAGTTGAGGGTTGAATTTGGCACTACTTCCGCGAAACTAACGCATACAGATTCCCGATTGCGGTCTTCTCTGTGATCTACTATGGTCTGACCCAGATAAGGATATTACTGGCTGGAGCGAGAATGACAGAGGTGTGAGCTTTACATTCGGACCCGATGTAGTGTCTCGCTTCTTGCAAAAGCATGACATGGACCTCATCTGCCGTGCGCATCAAGTCGTCGAAGATGGCTACGAGTTCTTTTCCAAGCGTCAACTCGTGACACTCTTCAGCGCACCCAATTACTGTGGAGAATTCGACAACGCAGGGGCCATGATGAGCGTGGATGAAAGTCTACTGTGCTCTTTCCAGGTTGGTGCATACATGCCTTGTACGAGCATACAGTGTCTAACGTTTGATTACAGATCCTGAAGCCTGCCGAGAAGAAACAAAAGTACGTCCCTAACCTTGGCAGCGGTAGACTAGCGTCTCCTCGCACCAAGAAAACCTAGAAGTAGTCACCACTACGCTTATTGAGAAACCATACCAACTTCTTTTACAGCAGGTTTGGGCGTCGTTAGACGATGGCAATTGTTAGCCCCCCCCCGAGTCCCGATGCCGAACGACGCGAACCACACTCGATCTCGATTTCGTTACCCACCCAGACGGCTTTTGACATTTGTACACAATCCTGTCCTTCATTATTGTCATTCAAGTACCGTTGCGCACGATGGATCACGAAAGAAAGTGCTGCCCGGAGGAAGCGATGAGGGTGGCTCTGCCTTTTGTTCTTGCAGGCCAAATCAAGAGGCGGATACTATGGCAGGCAGTGGCGGCGCGACGATAAGCGGACAAGAAATGGCATAAGGTACATCAAAATGCTCAAGACATGAATAACGGCCCCGATACGCTGTACGGTTGTTTGATGTTGGACAAAAGCTCATGATGATGGCGCGGGTTGTCTGGGGTGGGTGGCATCTGGGAGTTCATTGCTGGCCCGATGTTGGGCTTCTAAGGTCCTTTGAAGCATTTTGGACTCGTCGACTGCTCGTCCTCTTGGGGCGCGAGCTTACATCCAATAATGTCTGTCATTTCTTTTTCTTTGTCGCGTTCAACGAGCAACCTTTTGGGGATAAGGATGTAAGCTAGTAGTCTCGAATGGAGTATGCGTATCCCCTTGACAAATTTGCGAAAAAATGAGTGGCGTTGGTCAAGTCGCAAAGTAGCCATGTGAGACGTTGACGGATGGAGCCAAGACTAATAGCTCGTGACTATGTTAAAAATATGGTAACGGGACTGTGTGGTGCAGGGTATATGCTGACGACGGGCTCGAGTGCGACAGTGTCTGGTGCATGCGACAGGTGTCAGTTGTTACTCTGCCATGGCATGCCTCGCAAAAGCAAAGCTATAGCATGCTGATTGTCTTTGACGCATGGTAATGTATTCGAAATCAAAAGCAAGCAGAGACAAGGTTGGATGCAGGTGCAGGCAGGGGAGGTTCGTTCGTTCCCCACGAGATGGTGAAGGATTTGTTTTTGCTATCGGGCCACGGGACAGAAAGATCAGCTAGTGGCAACAAGGTGGTGGATACGAGCACGAGGCTGAAGAGGCTCAGCGCAGGCCAGGACGCAGCACTCGTGGTCACGGAAGCAGGATGGACCGTAATGGCTTGGCTGGTAGGCATGATGATGTCAACGGGTAGCGCTCCCGTTGCTGGGCGTGGCTGGTGCAGGTCTATGGAAGTAGGTACCGTGGTACGTGTGACTTGGCCTTTGGTTAAGCCAGGGGCAAGCAAGTAACTAAACACCAGGTCCTTGTCGAGTCGGTGACGGCAGCGAGCCTCTGTCACAGTGGCGGGCCTCGGGTTGACAGGACATGCGCATTCCTGCGCAGCTTGGCAATGGAGTACCTATTACAGTATTTGCAGAAAGTGCAGACTATTGAAAATGGCCTGGATGCAGGGCCTCGTTGGGCGTCGTCAGTCCGTAAATGCACTGGGGGGCGCGGGGCTGGTACGCGATCGAAGCGTAAGCGCCGCCTCCGCCGACTGTGGCTCCGGCCCTATCCACCACCTGCCCGTTCCATGTGGTCATCTCTCGCAGTTCCATCATCCGCGTCACTTTCCACAGTCGTCGCTGCCCTTCTCTCACCAACCCGGCAACCGGCTGTCTTTGTGTACTTGTGTACCTTGTTGTTATTTCATCCGACCTCACCACGTGTCTTGCTTGACAGCCTGTGTCTCGATAGCAGAACCAGATGTTTAGCCAGTAGACTCAGCCCGCCGTACTCGTCCGCGGTCCCTCGCGCCTACCCATCGTCACTCCTTTGTCAGAGCCTCCTGAGACGGCGCCCTGTATCCGATAGCCGACACCCATCGGCTGTGTAATGCGCTGCACGAGATAACAGACCAAGTCGCATCGCTCTGTCACACACAATGGCTGAATACGCGTATGTCTAGACCCTGGCATGAGCATGGCGCAAACGTCGGGATGCCTCACGAATGCCCTCCTTCCTCAGCCGCCATCGCTGCTGCTACCAAACGAAACACTAATGTCCTCTTGCCCAGCAGTTTCATAGCACACTCGGCCCCTTGGGTCCACGGCTCAGGCAACATGACCCCCTCGCGCCTGCGCTCCTTATCGCCTATGCCCAAGAATCACGTAACCCGCTCTATTTCCACGCCTCAACTCGCCAGAACCGCCAGCGCCCAGTCGCAGTCGCAGTCCGAGAGCGATGGCATGAACACCATTCCCGATCCCCGAGCAGCCACACCGCAACCCGCCCTCTCTCGTCACGACTCTACCGACTCGCATCCCGATTTCAGCCAGGAAGTCTCGACCCTCAGCACCAAGCTGATCAACGCCATTAACCACTCCACCATGCTCGACGATTCATTACAGCAAACGCGGCATGAGCTGGAAGCAGCGCGAGAGAAGCTGGCACGCTTGGAGGTCCAGGTACGCGTGCATGAAGAGAAGGTCGCAAAGGGCCTCCTGGTCGACAAGGTTGTCTACGACAAAATGGAGAAGCAGTTGACGAGCGAGCTACAAGAAGAGCGCAAGCGAAGGGCGGTAGCAGAGGCAGCTAAGCGGAAGACGGACAGTGAGGTTGAGGCTTTGACGGCTGCGCTGTTCGAGGAGGCCAATGTGGTGAGTAGTACGATGCGTGCTAGCATGACAAAACTAATTGTCTTCTTAGATGGTTGCAGCTGCACGAAAAGAGACAGAAGCGTCTGAGAAGCGCAGTGAACAACTAAAGCAACAACTAGGTGATGCTGCCGTACTCCAGCATTCTCTCCAGGACCAATTACAGGATCTCAAAGGCGTAGTGGAAAAAATGAGCCAACACGGCGACGATAACGACAGCCACATTCTTAGCACCACCGCGCCTTCTACGCCAGGCCTCACACCTGCAGACAAGATGAGCAAGCTGTTTGAAGCCATGAACCTCACACCCAGCACCCCAGGCACCGATGATATTACTCCAGACCACCCGCTCCACTTCTCCCATCTCATCCACCCAGTTCTCCGGTCCGATCTTACTGCATTCAAGGAGTTTCAGGATATGCTCAAAATTAGCGCTCGCAATTCGGCGCCACCGAGCCGTAGTTCGAGCGGCAGCTACGGCAGTCTTGGTGTACTTGGCCTTGGATCGCTGACCAATAGCTCTACGACCTCTCTACCCTCAAAGTCACCCACTTCGGCTGCCAACTCACCCCGTGAGTCAGTAGCAAACTCTGCGATGCCCAACCTAAAGGACGAAAAGTTTTACAAGCGTGCTTTGATTGAAGATATTGAGCCGACATTACGTCTGGACATTGCACCTGGTCTCTCTTGGATGGCACGCCGTACAGTGCTGAACAGCATCACTTCTGGATCTCTCGTCGTAGAGCCGAACCCCGCGCCATCATCCAAGTTCCGAGTACCTGTTTTCCCCTGCTCGCTATGTGGAGAAGCAAGGATGGGTGACCAGTACGCACGAAAGTTCCGCTTCAAGCCTGCAGATACCGAGGACTCGCAACGCTACCCCCTGTGCGACTGGTGTTTAGGTCGAGTTCGGGCAACGTGCGACTACATCGGTTTCCTTCGTATGATAGCTGCGGGCCACTGGCGAGCGGAAACTGAAGAAGAGAAAAAGTCAACATGGGAAGAGAGTGTCCGGCTTCGAGAGCGCATGTTCTGGACAAGAGTTGGTGGAGGTGTGGTACCGTCATTTATTCCTTTAAGAGATGGCGCAAGAAGTCCAACATTCTCAAATGGCGAGCAGAGAATGAGTGAAGAGAGCGTCGTCTCTTTTGAGCCCAGGGACATTACGGTAGATGGCCCAGCATCCGCAATGGAGCCAAGAAAGAGTGAAGAAGATCCATTTCGAACAAAGGGCGAGGTGAATCTTAAACGAATCTCCATTGGCAACACCATCCTATCCAACAACAGCACTACTTCGAATGCTCCAGCCGTACAGCCGGACAAGGAGACAACTTCACCGATACCTACGTTGACCGTGGACGAGGAGAAGACGATCGAAGACGAAGCTGATGCTCAACTCCACGAAGAGGTCAGCAAATCGCTCGACGTAAAAGACGTGACCGATATGTCTTTTAGGCAGCGCCAGCGCTCGATATCGAATCCCCACCCATCACAAACCGTACAGGTGAAGAAGAAGGACGAGAGGCTCAGCTTAATGATTCCTGGTTCCATGCCCGGAGGCTTCGACTAAATCAGTCTGATTAGCAAGCACATTTTTTCATCTTTTCCATTTTGCATTATCCGGGGTTTTGTCGCTTGAATGAGACCAGGTTGGATTCATCACCCTCAGCATTGTTTTCCTATTGTCATTTCTTAGTTTTTTTTTCATCCTATCAGTTTATCCATGGCAGTGGAAAGCTCCATGGATAGCAGGAGTATCGTTAGATTGGAGAGTGCGTGTTCTTTGTCATACAAAACAGGCGCACTTTTTTTTTCCTTGGTCTTGGTTACACACATATATCGCATAAGCTTTGATCGGGAAGTTGGCTTCCAACACCGGTTGGGAGGAGGAACAAGGGAAACATTGATATACCAGGAGGCTGGTACTCTTTTTTCTTTGCGTGGAACCTGGCATGGATAAAGCTGGGTAAGGGAGAGAATGTTCAAGCAGGTTGGTTGGTTGGTTGGCTGGCTAGGAATTTTTATCTTAATTGTACTATACTTTTGTTGTTGGATGGAGGATAAGAAGAGTGGTGTGGTAGGGGAGTGAGAATGGGAATAGGATCGTACGTCGTAGTTTGAATCAATCAACAGTCTCGAGGTTACAAAAACACGCAGCAGTATCAGTAAAATTCTCATGCGTTTGATTTTTGGTGTATCAACTTCATTTCTCACTTTTCTTATCCTGCACTCCAGCCACCCCCTCCTTGAGCACAACTTCGCCCTCAGCCCTCCCACCGCCCTTCCTCGGCAAAAGCGGGACCTCATCTTCAAGCTCATGCTGCACCATAATCGTCTTACCCTTGACCAACTGCATAACCATATAATTCATCGAACACCTAATCCCCAGCTCCTCCCCTCTCTTCACAATCCACCCATTAATATACTCAATCTCCGTTTGTACGCCCTGTCTCGCATCCGCCAGCATACTGCTTACATTGTCCCTCGTGCGGTGTGCAATAGCCACGACACCGGTTTCCAGGCGGCCTGGGTCGAAGCGCTGGGCTACGTTGGGTATATATTGCAGTTCAGGCAGTGAACGGATGACGAGGCTGATTTCAGCGAGGAGGAGCCGCATGGTACGGGATAAAGCCCAGTTGTTCAATAGAGCACCATTTCGGGCGTCCAGGAGCACGGTGAGGGGATTGATGATGCAGTTTATGGCAAGCTTGTCGAGTTGCATTTGGAGGAGATCTGGGGGCGAGAAGGAGGCGCCGCCCAGAACGGGGGCGCGCAGCAGGGTACGCAGGAGGTAGCGTTGGTTAGGTGTGAAGGGGAACTTTGCACTGGAGGGCTCTGGGTATTCTGGGTTGAGCGTTGTGGGGGGATCCGGGTAGATTGGGCCGTCGTGCTTTGCGGTGAATTTTACGTCGGGGATGTAGGGTGATGAGGGGTCGCGCTCGCGTTCGTGGGGGAGGATGCCGAGGGAGATTGTGCCGTAGCCTGCGTGGACGGTTGTGAAACGCTGCGAGGGCGACGTGTGTAGGCCGTGTGAATTGATGCCTAGCATATAGTATGGCCTTGTCGCTGGATCAGGGAAGATTTCCTTGTTCACTTCCTCGACGATACCCATGCCGTTTTGGAGGAAGAGAATGACGGAGTCTTTATGCAGTCGGTGCTTTACTGCAGAGAGGTTTTGAAGTACATATGGCGCTTTGCAGCATACAATTAGCGAGTTGATGGGCTCTCTCGACTCTCCTGTGAAGATGGGTGGTGATCCTTTTTCGGTTTCTGCCTTGGGGGGATTCAAGCCTACTTCCTTGCCATGGTATCGTATACGTGGTATAGCTAGTTCGGCGTCGTATCCGTCACGGAATTCGCTGTCTCCGTCGGTGACGAGTGTAAGTCTTTGCGGCGACTCATTCCACTCCTTCAGTCTGTCCCAATGCTTAAAGATCAACGTCACAGGAGGAGCATTCACAACGCCACGGAGAGCATGCGCAATGAAGCAGCCCACATTCCCGATACCGATTATATGGATTCTTCGATCGAGCACGGGCTTTAGCCGGTAGAAGCCAACGGTATCAGGTGGGGTTTGTGGAGGGGCGGCTTCGTTGATTGCATCCTTGCTGTCTCTTGTGAGCATTGGTAGAGTGAATATATCACAAGACATACTTCTCCCCACGAGTTTCATCGGAACTCGCGCTTTCTGCCTTTTGCCAGCTCGACATGAAGCCACGCATTTGGTAATAAGCCACACGGCTCGCGCAATTGCTACCGCGGGCGCATCTCGTTGTGATGTGCGGTATTCGAGGCCGAAGCCTAGCGAGAAGCGGTGAAATTGAGAGGAAAGACAGCTTGAACGACTTGCTCAAGCAACACAACTTGGGCTTTTCAGGGTGAAAGCATGATGTAGTGAGTTGCGAGGTCTTGAGGGCTCGGAGTCGGAGCTAGGGCGGGTTTACGCCTTGCGCTTCCGCTCGACCCGCAACTTTTCTTTGGCTTGTACCTGACTGAGAGCGCAACACGGAACAGTCCCGACTCCACTGTCGCCGTTTGTCACTTACCCAGACACCACCAGATTACTGATCGCGACAGCCAAATCGCAATCATGGATCCGCAAATAGATCTCCCCGAACTCGTAGAGGACCTTGAAGTCAACATTGACGAACTCACGGCGACGCTCGAACCTCTGCTCTCAAAACCACTCCATACGACCGCGTCATCGCTTCCGTTGCTCGACAAGGCCAAGCTATACACTCTCTCCGCCTACGCGATCGAATCCATCTTGTTTTCTGTTCTGAAAGCTTCGGGTGTGGATGTGACAGAACACCCCATCTTCAAGGAGATTGCGCGTCTGAAGGGGTACAACAGCAAGATTCGTGAGGCTGAGGAGCGGGATAAGAACAAAGAAAACAGGGCGCGTCTGGATGTAGCAGCCGCAGGACGGTTCATCAAGCATGGTTTGGCGGGCAATGACAAGTACGATCTGGAAAGGCGGGAGCGCATGGCCAAGGAAAAGGCAAGGGCGCACCTGAAAGCACAGAAGATGGTGAACAAGAAGTTCGACGACGATGGAAAGGAAGTGCAAAGTGAAGATGCGACGCCTAAGAAGAGGGGCGTGGACGAAGTTGATGGCCATGGTGAGGACTCTGATCAAGTACTGGGAGGACTAGAAGAGGCAGAGCCAGCGGCGAAGAAGGCGCGCGTTGACGCCACCGAGCCCATGGACATTGACTCCGAAGCGTCGAAGAAGGGGAAGAAGAAGACAAAAACACAAAAGACAAAGGCCAAGAAGGAGGCTAAGAAGGCAAAGGAACAGGCAAGACAGAGCGCAGAGAGCACCGATGCATCTGCCGACGATACACCTGAAGTCTCCACTTCAGCCGCAGAACCAAAACCAGAGGCCGAACCAGACGTCAACACTACGCAACCCAGGAAACGTGGCAGACCCCCAAAGAAGGACAAGGCGCAGCGAGCCACAGTAGACGATGCCGAAGCAGAAGCTACGCCTTCAAAAGCCGAGGCAAGAGTGACACGGAATCGCAACAAACGGCTTTCAACACAGAACGGGCAGGAAGAGGAGATTGTAGTACCGACACCAGACCAAGCGCCCAAGACACGAAGCGAGACTTTTAACGCGCTGCTTGATGGCTCGTTGGGCGAGAAGAACAAGAGCAAAAAGGGTGGTAAGAAGGGAACTCGAGGAAAGGGGAAGTGAACAGGGGTCTGGAGCTCATGAGTTCGCTGTCAAGTGGATGATCTTGATGAGCTTTCATGGTGGACATGCTGGGATTGGGAGGCTTGAAGTATACATTTGTCTATTGGTCTCGTCGTGCAGGATGTCATGTCCCCCCGAGGACCACTACGCACACTCAGCAGATGTCCGGTTGTGTGGCATATAAAGAGCTGCTATGTATACAGCAGTAGCTGATTACAGGTCACTATGATCGTCTTGGATCATCGTATGCGACATAATAATGACTTTGAGACTCTCTACGTACTCATTACAAGCCTATAATGTTTGTTTTTTTCGGATTTCTAAAATGCGCAGTTGGCTCATAATGTCGTTGATACAGGTCTACTAATAGCCCCCAATATCCACCAAGTCATCGGCATGATTAACAAAAACATGCATAGTCCTTTTCCAGCCTTTTCGGGACTATATCTGTATACGCATGAAAGCGATTACAGTTAATGCGAGACGCTATAAACGTGAAGGTTATTCCTTATCTCCTTTTACGTATCTTTGTAATCGCTGTCATTTCCTTCTAAGCGCTTCACTACCTTTCGTTCTTGTTAGTTGTATCGCACTTCATCTTCTGAGCCAATCTCTTCTGGAGGTGTTTCTGATCTTCTCCTCTTTGTAATGCTAGGAGGGATGATGTTCCTCGTTAGTAAGCCAGACTGTAGTCGTACTCTGCGCTCAGCTGCATCAAGAAATTGGCAAAGCTGCTGGCTCGAGATATGTATTTCTTCATCTTGATTTCCAAGCTGTTCCTGCACTAACTCTTCATGCGCAAAATCGCGAAGGTGAAGGTGCAAGCCTGGTGAGTTGGTAGTGTTGCCTGAAGCGTCACGAAAGACCTTTTATGAATGTTAGAATATTACCGGTAGAAGAGGATTGCATAAGTAACCTACTTCGTCTTTGACCTCTATCTCTACACGAAGCTCATCTCCTGTAGAAGCGTGGATTACCTGCGCTCGCCATAATGTTAATGTAGCCTTGCGTGTCCCTTTCTTACCATATTCAATGTCTAACCCAATAACAGCCTGCACGCTAGCATCCGAGTCTAGAAGGTAGTTTTCAGCTAGCCGGTCTAACCTCTTTCTCTTTTGTGAGTACGAAACCTCAGTGATAACTCCAGGGTAATCCGCATCCTCGTGCCAGAAGGACGCGTCTGGCTCATGCTTCGATCCCGATGGAAAACATATCTTACTAGACCGAAGAGGCTCCACTTTCTGCGCGAATGTCGCCGTATTGCCCGATCTCTCACGGATTGATTTCAGTTAGTTTAACATAGCGTCCTCGACGCGAGCAATGAGATATTCGTGCACAGTTGTAGGTATTCGAACAACAAGCAGGTGCTTTTCAACGTAGTAATCATACCTAACCACCTCTGGCATTAGCTACCATGCCTAACTTATCATATATTAAGTGCACCCACCGTATCTTGTCTTCTACAAACCCCAACAGCTCCTCGTCTCGATCTAGCAGACGCTGTACCTCGTCAATCTCCCCTGGCACTAGCAAAAATTCCGTCCAAGGTTAGCAATAGAAATGCTTTCCAGCTCGGATCTCCTGGAAGAGTGCGATAACTCGAGGAGCTTGCGCGGACGATCTCTCGTCAGTCGGCGGCGGCGTCAGCGGAGGGTGTATGAAACTCAAGGGCGGCGTAATCTTCGGTTTTGTTTCGTCGGGATTTTTCGATGAGACATAGCACTGTATTGCACGGTATCCGGTATCGCGACGTTGTGCAAAGGCTGTCAGTACGGTGGGTGTTTGGTAGTTGCGACAACTTGGGCCGCTCTGCTTGACTCAGCAACAATGCCAAGGGATGTTTTATCGATAGCGAGCCTCATGACGTAGCCACCCAAGTCATACACTTAACATACTAATGTACAACAACTGTAGTCACCACACACGCCTATTAGGTGCTTACCAACACTTTCAAGTATTCTATGACACCCTAGGTGTAACTAAACGGTAATCTCAAATTGAGCATGCAGGCTATCATATACGCAACAGGGGAATGTTAGCAACATAGGTTTAGCTGTTGTTAGATCGTGTAACTTATAGAGTAAATGTATATGTATCAGGGATACTAGACATACCCTAGTAGTTGAGGCAGATCTATCGACGGCGCCCCTGAACACTCTTCTCCATCGGCACCCAAGGCTGTCCGCGTGTGATAGATAGTGAGTTAATTCCAAGATGAGCCTACCATGGAATCTCTACCCCGAACCGATCCACAAGCTTCCCCGACACCTTCCTCCCAGTCTCATCAAACCACTCATTCAACCTTCCCATAACTTCTAAGCAATCCCCCACGCTCTCCTCGACGCTAATAGTACCCTCCTCCTTCCACTCCACCAGCTGCGTCTCCACCCTCCCCGGGTGCAGCATCAAAAACTGAACGTGAGGAACATCGAGCACGAAACTCTTGACCACCGCATTCAGCGCCGCTTTACTAGCCCGGTATGCGTATCCGCCGCCGGCTGTATTCGCAGTGATGGAACCCATGCGTGATGACAGGATTATGACTTTGGGCATAGAGATGCTTGAAGAAGTCCCAAGCAAGTAATCCGGAAGCTCTGTGTCAACCCTTTTCTTGAACGACATGAGCAAGTTCGGGAGAAACGACCTTATCACATTAAACGTCCCCCAAGTGTTGATTTCAAACGTCCGCACCATGGTTTCGTGGTCCATTGCTTGCATGCTCTCGGTGGCTGCTACATTTTGACGGGCTTCTTTTTCTTCGGCCACTACAGAGGGTACGAGGCCGCGGATGCCGGCGCAGTGTATGACTAACTTTATGGGCGTTGAAGCGTAGTCCTCGGCGAGGCTTTGAATGTCTTTGTGGGATGTGATGTCTATTTGGTGGAATTGCAGGTTGGAATAGTGTATGTGTGGTGGAAGGGGCTGGGCATCTAAGGCTATGATGGGTGGGTGTGAGGGGAGGGAGGCGTAGTGTTGTAGGAAGGCGAGACCGAGACCGGAGGATGCGCCTGTTATCAGGATGTTGTCGTCTTCTATGCTTGCTGTGGTCATGATCTTGAAGTAAAGGCGAGAAACAGTAGGATGTTGTTCACACAATTGCAAAATGTTTCTTTCTTTCTTTCAGAGCTAGGATGTTGGTACCTCACACCTTGCAATTACAAAGAAGGCTAGAGTTCTGTTGGCATAGGGAAGCTATACCGGAAGAGGATCTGAGCTCGGGTTTAGTGGGGTGAAGATACGTCACGGCTCCGGGTTACTGCATGTTAGCGACATGTGGGACCCCGCAATACCCGTTGAGTGGCGTTCCTATCATAATCAGCAAGAGGGGTGATAAAACATATTGGAATTTAGAAAGCTGACTGTCAGTATCAGGAAGTAGAAAGGAAACACTGAAGTAGCAATTGATACGGGAATCATCATCCGAAAACCATCGTTCAACATGTTTTACCAGCCGGGCAAGGAGGATCATGGACTCCCGTATGATCCATTCAAGGTACATGTTCTTTCATCCCGTTCTATTATACGAAACGAATTTTCCCTTTACACACCTGCTTGCCAAATCCAAATCAAACCCCTAACACTCCCTCTCAGGCATGCGTCATCCCCCGCCCCATAGGCTGGATATCTACCCTCTCCCCCTCGGGCATCGCAAACCTAGCCCCCTACTCCCAATTCAATAACCTCACCTTCGATCCCCCATATATAATGTTCAGCGCCAACCAAACGCCCACGCACTCTCAAAAAGACACAGTCCGCAATGTTGAAGCCACCGGCAAGTTTATTTGGAACCTAGCGACTTACGAACTGAGAGACGCCGTAAACACGAGTGCAGTTCAAGAAGCCTATGGCGTTGATGAGTTTGAGAAAGCGGGGCTGGAGAAAGAAGACAGTAGATTGAGTGCCGTAATGATTGATGGTGGGGAAAGGGAGATTAAGATTCCAATGGTGAAGCGCAGTCCAGTCAAGTTTGAATGCGAACACTATAGCACGCTCCGGCTTCCAGGCAATCCGCCCATGGGTTCTGCCGACGTGGTCATTGGTAGAGTTGTGGGCGTGCATATTAATGAGCGCGTGTTGACAGATGGCAAGATTGATGTCAAGAAGACGGAGCCGATTGCCAGATGTGGTTATTACGAGTATGCGGTTGTGAGAGACGTATTTGAGATGAAAATTCCGGGTGAGGATAAGGCACTCATGGCGGGATTAGAGGGGAGCTCGAGTAAGAACAAGGAAATGAGCAGGAATGGGATCTTGTAGGGAAAGAATTGATGAAGATATCACAATTATGATTTTCGAGTTTCTACAATCAAGCTTTCTGTACTACAAAAATATAGAGTCGACAAAAGATGAGCTTCCGCCAGCTCAAACGGTTTTACAGAGGCGTAAACAGATATTGCAATCATCTTTCCACATACCGAATCCTGCCTTGACATCTTTGCGACCTAGGTGCCCCGTTTATCCATGGATCCAATCCACCGACATTATCAAAACCTAGCACATGAAGCGAAGCACGCAGTCCAGATACCGAATCTTGAGCTCGACAAACTTCCAGCCGGGCATTCTGCTCTTGGGGCGATTTCTCCCGCATCCTGTGCAACTTCCACGGTTCCTTGTCGTTGATTGCAGAATCCTTGGGGAACCAGATCAAAGTTGGTGATCATGTCAACCCGCGGCCTCATTTCTGGGATCAGCCAGAAAGAACGCATGTTGATGCCAACCTCGAAATGGTGATCTCCCATCTGAGTAGCCGGGCCGAGGTCGGTGAGGTAGGCCTCAATGTCCTGTGCGGGTATGTTGTGATGGATTTCCGCTCCGAGTGCAGCCCCGGCATCGGCGCACCACGCAGTTGTATCATCGACATGGACAGAATTGCCGAGGGTAGACGTGATGATGCTGATTTTGACGTGACAGATCCAATTCGCATCTCCGAAAGTGATAACGTAGTCGTATTCCCCGTAAGCCGCAATGGGTGTAATGAATAGCCGGGCGAGTGTAACGGGCTAGAGCCCAGATGCTATGGTGATCCTCGGTGGAACCTTCGGAGCTTCCTCGGCACTTTAGATGCTTCGAGAAGCTACGTGAACAACAAGCCAAACGTATATAGATATCGTTGCACTGCAGATAGCTTTCTTCTTCATCGAATACAATCCTGTTACCAGGCACCGGCATACTTTGCGCAGCCCCTTACAGCGAGGATGGCAAGCATCAAGCTCAGCGTCTTGAGACGAGCCATTTTTAGAAAGGCTCTTAGTTAGGAGGGCGTTGAAATAGAGCGTTGAAAGAGAGAGTTGGCAATTAATTGGTGTAGAGCACACGATGATAGAACTGCGAGTGTCTCGCTAATGATATCAGTGATATATCCCTCAATACGTACCTTGATGCCATCTTTGTAGCCTGTTCCCACAACTTTGATCTGCTTCGCAGTCTTTTTCGAGGTTCTGCTAAGAACATAAGGTTCTCTCGTAAGCTTACACTAATCTATTTCCTCGCATACATACACTCTATCCTCCGAATGACCGAGCAATGAACTTCCACTGTTCCCAGAATAACCTGAGCTTCGTGTTGTTGTGACGATCTTGTACTGATGTTCGTCATAAACGTAAGCTTACTCTCGTATATTCGGATAACTTACCATGCGTACACCCCACCCTCAGTCAGGCAGTGGGTTTGTTTGCACCTTTCCCAAACCACCATGTTGTTACAACAGTCTTGTGTGCCGCTTCCCGATGACAAGCCGATCAGCTGGTGGCGGGTTCTGTATCGGTTTTACGTCATCTGCATGGATTTTCGATCTGGCGGAAGCCCCGTTTCTTTGTTAAATTTATACATGTATTTCAGTGACGAAGCAGCTTCTTCATAAAAGTTCCAACAATCCTATACGAGCATTTATGACACATAGAGAAGGGGAGATACACTTTCCCAAGCTCTGTTTCAAAACACCACCTCTATGTATACTAGCAAAAAGCAATAACATACGGGGTGATAGAGGGCCATGAAGTTTACCTCCTGATTACATGGCCTAATGGCTTGGTCTCCTGACATGACCTAATGTAAAGACAGTGCTTATGTACAAGAAAGGAGAAGAGCTACAGATATGCCGGAGATGGGCCTGGGATAAGCCGGAGCGGAGTTTGTGAGTCTTACGGCATGGGGTGCGGGAGGGCCATGGACTCCGTCTTCCGATGACGTGGTCTAATGACATGACCGGATGTAAAGGGCTGATGGAGTTATACTCATGTTGTCCTCAGTGATCTACTTATGAGATTGATCAAAGTGTTATACCTTCTACGCTTGACAACGAAATAAAGGAACCGGACGATGGACAGGATTGGAAAGGTGAATAGTCAAGGACATGCTTTGTAATGTGTAAAATATAAGTACAATACATACATGTTCCACGAAACCCCGAAACGCCGCCACGACTACCCAAACCCTCCTTCGCAGCATATGCATCTGTTTATGCAATCTCCCGTGACGGCTACGCGCAACCCTCAAGATGCGAGACTGCTGCTAAAAGACACAGCAACCACTATTCCTCATAACACCTGGACGCTATTCCTAGAAAAAGAGTCAAGAAACTCCTTGACCTCTCTGTTACGTCCACCGAATCCGTGGGCGGGAAGTGAGAGCACTGTCAGACCATGTAGACTCTTGGCTCTGCTGACTGTTTGAGATGATTAGCTAATGCCTCGATGCCAGGGGTAGATTTAGAGATTTACGTACGAGCAACATACGGCTGTTCGGTCTCGAACGACTTGGCCAAGTCTACCTTCACCTTATCAAGCGTCATACCCTAGTCGTCATGTTAGCGTACGCACATATCTCTGGTCAGGAGGAACGAACTTGTGCTTTGTGTATCGTCACACTATACCCAGCCATGAGTGGAATCTGCGTCCTCGAAAGCAAGCTAAATGGCTCGCTGACACCACGTTCGGCGGCCGAGCAATCGGCATATATGGTCTCTGTGAGACCGTTGTCGAACCGCACAACCGGCCAAGGTCGGAACTCGTTCCTCTCGGCGAATCGCTTAATTTCTTCTTCGCAGTAGCGTGCGTGGGGACCGGTTAGTGGGCTATCTTTTATGGGTAGCTTCTCTGGGTCATATCTCTCGAAGCCGATTATCGTGCCTTGTGAACCATTGACAAGGCCAAGGCCTGGTGCGAGGTTGTGTAGTAGTACAACGCGCATGTTTTGCTTGAGGTCCAATTCTGCTTCGTAGCGATGGTCGCTCTGCAGTCCGTCATTAGCAGAGGCTTGAAAAGTCCGGATCTCCACTTACGAGATAATGTAAGTGGCCACCATCGCCTCTCTGTAAATACTTTTTCAAGCTTATATCACCCTTGTGGTGATCTTTCCACAGGAAGAAGTCCTTGCATCTGTAAGCTATCGCTTTTCCCGGCAGTTCGTCGATCTTCTTCTTGTTTTGCTTTGCGACCAAGGCCTTGTGAGTAGATATCTCGATCGCCCCTTCCGTCTCTGACTCGTGGTTGAGTAAGATTTCTTTATGCTCAGGCTGGATGATACCCTCTATAATATATTAGCATCTTTGTTAACTATATCTACCACATATATGATATCATATTTTGAACGGGGAAAGGCTTGTAGTCAGAGGGCTGGAGGTCTTACCGAGACGGATCCTGTTGAGAATAGATCTGAAGAATGGATCGTCTTGCCGATGGATCTTCGATAGGTTGATATTGACAAAGTTACATTCCTGCTATCCTTAGTGATTTGCCTATGAGATAGATTAAAGTGTTATACCTTCCATGCTTGACTACGAAAAGCCCATTGTCGACATCGTAATAGACATGTCTACAATTACCGCATACGTATTCTGTGGGATTCCGCGGTGCGTTCGGTCGTTTTCGGCTCGCAAGTGAAGCAATACCTGAACGGCTTTACGGGCGCCAGCTGACAGAACTGAATTCATTAGCCGATGTCGGAGAAGACATTGTATGTACACGTACGTCTCCTGTGACAATGATTTGTACTCCACCAAAAGCTTCCTTACTGTTCCTGGCGGACTTCATTACTTCACTGAGACGTCCGAAGAAGTTGTTCTCCACCATGCTGATCTCATCGACGACAAGGACGTCGGTGTTACAGAATAATTCTTTCTGCCTGCCTTTCAATACTCTCTTCTTTAGATTGTTAAGTGGTTCCTTGCCAATCTCCATATGCCAGCCAGCGTAGCTGTATGTAGTTTGACCTCCTATGGCAAGTGCAGCAATATTTGTGGGGGCAGTCACAAATATAATCTTCCTTTGCTCCTCAAGTCTCTTCTTGAATACTCTAAGGATAGCTGACTTTCCGCAGCCCGCAGGACCGGTATAAAATACGTTGCACCCCGCCATAATTAGGTCAACCACATAATGCTGTTCTGGATCTAGAGTTACCTCTGGCGCAGCGGCAACGTTGTTGTTTGCGCGTGGTTGGGGGCCATTCAGGGAAGAATTAGGCCGTTGAAAAGCAGTTTGGGGGGTCAACGACTCATCCTCGCTCTCGGGAGTTGCTGATTGATTTGAATAGGATCGGGATTGAGTATACGATGACGAGGGCAAGGGCGATTGGTGCTGTGCGATACCAGCAGATCGTCTAGGCTGCGGTTTGGCTGGCGGGGCTTTCCCGATGCTAGTCAGGTAGGCGCGTCCACGATCGCGGTTCAGTGCTTGTTCGACCAAGTGTCTGTGTTCCTCTAGAAAGTCCCATGCTTCGTCCACGGTTTTGAACTTCTTTTTTTTGTTTCCCTGATACCCCCTGAGATATGCATCCTCTATAGCTTTCCAATTTCCTGTGTATATTCCAGGTACATGGCCAACTATTGCGTAGTACGGACGACCTCCAGAAAGATCCACAGGAAGGCCCCATTCCTTTACCGAGAGCGTGGAACGGGGCGGAGTTGTGTTCTGCTCCGGCTCTGGACTCGATTCAATCTCAACCGGGGCATCTTGGGTACCCAATGCCGGTATGCGCGACCCACTAGAGAATGAAGGCGCTGTTCTCAGCCGCTTATCGTACGTAGCATGATGTTCATCCTCGACCTTCCTTTTAGTAGTTGGCCGGACCATAGTCGTGATTCGGATATTGGGGTGTATTTAGTGAGCAACCAAGTTGTGGGGAACAGGGCACGGTAGTGGAGCAGAAGGGTGCTTGTTCAAACTGTGGGTGTCTGCGTAAACAGTGTTAGCGTCACGGGTCTATGTTGCTGTGAGAAGCAAGGACAAAACATTAATGCTCACATTTCGCCACGATGCGCAGCTCTGAACTAAGAAATACAAGATAGAAGACTGATTCTTGGCTCGTTGTTGCAAGGAGCGCGGTCGCGCTTGGATGCGACAATCGATTAGTTATCTGAAACGTCCAATCTCGCGTTCGCGTCAGTGTCGCGCTAACACATGATTGATTATCGTCAAGTTGTACATGTAGAAAACTTCTTGTATTCTTATTCTTCGCATACTCAACAACATTCAAAGAGACTTGCTGTATTTAGATTGTCGGCATTTACCAAAAAATGGTCCCTTATCAACAACCTGCGCCGTTTGAGGCATTATATTCTTTCCAAACATTGCCCTCCCACGCTGCTGGGAAGCTGCGCTCAGTGCCTCGGCACCAACATACATCTTATTGATTGTGGTTGTTATGAGCTATAACGAAATGCTGGGAGACGTCAAGGGCAAAACGTTACGAAATCACTGAGTATTTAACCTCAGTTATTCGGTGGGGAAGGTGAATATCGTGGTTGCCGTTGCCGTTGCCGTATACATGACGGCCATGTAAACTAGCACCATACGTATCAACCCGTGCAATGGAACTTGATGGCTACCCTGGTGGACAGTAGACTGACTGATCGCTTGCGACGAGCTTTTGGTTTGATCAAGGAGTTTGTTGTCGGCGGCAGGTGAAAGCATAACGTCGTTGGCGCAAACGGTGATCTTGAACACAAGGTCAACGCCGCCAATGCATATACTGATGTGTCCCTCTAAGGCTCAAAACAACCAAGACAGTTGTGAGGCCAAACTTCCAGCGTGTACCTAGACGCAGCGCATTCCCCATAGGATCTTCAGCCTAGAACCGGTGCGAGTCTCATGACTTGCGGTATCATCGCTCATCGCCCGTCTTTTCCACTTCGTCTTGGCGCACGTCTACCATGGTGCCGTCCTCACCTTCTCTCCATCTTACACCTGTCATCTTCCCCGCAACTTCCAGGTCTTCCTCGATGCCCTGTACCAGCGCGTCCAAGGCTGCGAAGATGTCGCCTTGTTTGTCTCTTGCTTCTTCCAGCTTATGCAGCCCAGCTTGACCTTTTCCTTTCCCCTTGTTCTTCCTTGGTATCTTGACGCCTTCTATCCGTAACATGTATCCCTGGTCCGGTGAATCTTCATCGAACGAAGGAGCTATCCGTACGGCAGTATCCGTTATTTGCCACTCCGAGGACAATGACTGTGCATCCATGATTGTACGTCCATCTGCTCCAATATCGATGATCAGGTAGTGTTCCTTGACGCCAGGTATGGGTGGCGGAAGTGGTGACTCGACCGGTGCGTCTTGCTCGTCTTCTTGTTCGCCTCCCTCGGTTCTTAGCCTCTCGTCGCCAGGTTGCGCATCGTGTGGTAGGTAGCTCGTATCATCCAATCCCAATCCTCGCATCGAGGCTGCAATCAAGATGGTTGGGTCATCGTCGGCGAAGACGTAATGAACGTAAGGGTGGTAATGCTCGCCCGAGGTAGTATCTTCGATTAGGGTAAAGAAAGGTCGAAAGTTTGGTGGCGGGAGCAGCGGTTGTTCCGAGCTGGGTTCAGGGTATGGCATGTCATCATCGTCGTGCATTTCAACTTGCAGCCCCAGCGCGTCGGTAGGCTGCTGCTGCTCGGGATGCGCATCATCGGGAGCATCTTCAGCACGGTTTAGAGAGTTTGAGCGCGGCGAAGGAGTAGAGCGAGGTATGGGCGAGCGTCCTAAAGTGTTAGGGCTTGTAGACATGTTGGGGTATTGATGGAAGTGTGGAGTTAACGGAGCTCTGGGTGCTAGGGTGCGCGAATCGATAAGGGAAGGGACATGGTGGTCCATGCACACTACCCTTCCCAACGAACCACCAACCGGGGAATAAAACACGCGGGGGAGTTATGAACACATGGGTTCAGCTGTAGAGAGATCCTTGGGGTATCAACCGAGTCCTGGCGCCTATTGAAACAAACTAAGAACCCAAACTCCTGCTTTCCAAAGTTGAAGCCAAGCACCGCTGGCGCGAGATCTTTCACTGTGCCTTCCAAAAAGGGATCGACAACGAATCTCTTATGAAGATAGGTTCATATTCACCAAGTCAGGGAGGGCTGGTACCCGGTCCCTGCGGTTGTCCCGGGGCTTCGGTGGCTGTGGGCGCAACCTGATTCTTCGACTTGAAGGCTACACCAACGTGTCAGCCGACTCTGTGGGCTTTCATGGTATCCAATATACTGCTTACGCTGACGGCACATGGGGCATTTCTCAAGGGAGCTATCTTGCCTCAGCCAAGATATGATGCAGTGCTGGATTCGTCTTAGATATGCACACAATCCTCGGTCAGACCAATACGTACCATATGGAAGGAGTGGTTGCATTCGCCCAGCACTGCCTCGAGTAAGCCCAAGTCAAGCAATGCGCCACATAGTACATACACAGCGGACACTCGTCTCCAGGAAACTTGCACTTTGAGCAAGTGCTATCGTACGGGTTACGACAGATTCCGCACACATCGTCGTCTGGCATGTCCCAGTGCCAGGCCGCAACGGCGTTCCATTCTCGTATCGTGACTTTCATCGTGTCCCTTGTCAGTTGGAAAGGTTGTAGTTTGAATTTGGGATTTGGGCGCCAATTGAACCTTGAAGCAGAAGCCGATCAACAGCGCCAAAACACGCCGAGGTGGCAGATTCCACGGCGGTGAGCAGCGGCGATTGCGCGTTAATTCCGCTAGCTAAGGTCTGAGCTCAAGCTTCACCTGCCCGCTGTCCGCTGCCCACAAGGCTATGACGCATCTAGTAATGCAATGCTGTGTTTGCAGCACAATCGTCTCATATCACCTTGTTTGAACCATGGGACAGTAAATGGGCACAGTCTCTATCAAACGAGACAACCAGCAACTCACGACCCCCTCCTCGGTTTACTTCAGTTCCCCGCACTTGCCTGAAGCTTACGTGCTTCCCCTCAAGTTTGCGTGATGAATCCAGATAGGCACGATAGGAAACTTGACCTCGCCGTCTACTCCACATAGCTTTGCTCCTTCTTCCCTCCTCGCCGACTAACACTTCATCACTTTCACAACCTGAGCCCTACCTCTACCGCTAAAATGTTCGTCTCAAGCTTCCGATGCTCTTTACGCTCATCTTCCTTCCCCTCGTCCGCCCGTCTCACAATTTCCACCCCTAGCAGGCGCACCATGTCTTCATATCCTACCCTCTCTTCTTATCTTGTATCACCATCTGAGCTTAGTTCAGCTCTGAAGCGCAACCCTACCAAGCTTTCTACAGAACCGCGCATTATTCCTCTTTGTGCATCCTGGTTCCTACCAAACGACGGCCGAAATGGATACGATACCTTCGTTTCTCAGCGCATTCCGCATGCTCGCTTCTTCGACCTTGATGCCGTCAAGGATGTGCACTCGCCGTATCCGCATATGCTCCCGTCCGCCTCCGACTTCGCAATTGCAATGAGACACTTAGGCATACGACGGGAAGACATTGTAGTTGTATACGATACAAAAGAACTAGGTATCTTTTCGGCGCCAAGGGTTGGCTGGACACTGCAAGTCTTTGGTCATCCCAAAGTACATGTACTGAACAACTTCCGCAAGTGGGTCGATGAGGGGTACCCAACGGTGAGCGGTGAGCCAAAAGAGGCGGAAATAACAGAGTATGCAGTCCCAGAGATTGACGAGGGAAAGGTGGTGGCCTTTGAAGAAGTAAAGGAGATTGCAAAGGAATTGGGCAAGGAAGGGGCAGATGAAGTACAAATATTGGACGCGAGGAGTTTGGGCAGGTGGAAAGGCGTCGATCCAGAGCCTAGGGAAGGTATGTTGTTGTCTATAAGATCATAGTTTGATTATTTGTACTGACTGGAGTAGGTATCTCATCTGGACATATCCCATATTCCACTTCAGTCCCCATTACCGACCTTCTCGACCCCAAAGACAAAACCTTCCTCCCCGCTTCTGAGCTTCAGGCCGTCTTCAAGTCCAAGGGTGTGGATCCCTCAAAACCCATCATCAACAGCTGCGGTACAGGAGTCACAGCGGCTATCATCGATGCTGCACTTACAGAAGCTGGCTTTCCTACACAACAAAGGCGATTGTATGACGGGAGCTGGACGGAATGGGCACAGCGAGTGAAGCCAGGTGAGAGGCTTATCAGAAAGGCCGAGTAAAGGTCCTGAATTGATAGGCACAAATTGCGATACCCTTGTCTTCTATGATGATTTGGGCTTATACCCTGGTCTCATTCATGCCTCTGAACAGGGCAGCAAAAGCTGCTGAGTTGTCAGGATAGAAACAAGAAGGAACATATGTGATAATGTAATGCGATGCAACAACTTGTTTGACTTTTCTCAAGTACTACCTAGGCATCCAAAAATTTCATAATACCCCTCTCAGGTTGTCTGAGAATTACAAGACACTAGTAAACATAGCGGAAGTTGGGGTTCTCTTTATCCGTCAAGTCCTCAAATCCATGCGTAGTATCAATATCCTTACCAAACTCCCTGTCCTTCTTCTTGTTCCTCATGGTGAGGTTAAATCTTAAAAACGCAATGACGAAGAGCAGAGTAGAGTAGCATCCAAGATGAATGGCAAGAGATTTGAGGTACCTCGGGTCGTTGTCAAAGAAGACCTTTGGACCGATGGCATTGCCCGCGCACCAGGCCACAAAGTTCATGGTGATGCAGACAGATTTCTTCGTCTGCCCGCCCACGTTACGCGTCAGCATGGACATGCCCAAACCCTGGGCAGCCCAGAAAGTGAAGACGATCCAGTAACTGATCAGTAGACCGGCACGAGTAGCGTTGTTTGTGTTCTTGACCGTCATGATGACAATTGTGCCTATAAAGGCGGGAATCATGAAGACGGCCATTGTAAGCAGGTTCTGCTTTGTTTTCTTGACGAGCCAGGCTGAGCCCATAAGTGTGGCTATAATGACGACGCCGAGGACCATGGCGAGGAGTTGGGTCTGTAGGACAGTGAAGCCGAGGCCGTTGATGATGATGTTGTAAAAGGCACCGAGCCCAGATGTAGGAATTGTGGTGAGAATCTGGATGCCCATGTAACAGTACGCCTGCGGGTCGAGGAGGGCCTCCTTGAACTGGTAGAAGCGGAACTTCCTGTTTTGGAGTCCTGTCTGGTTGGAGCGGACTCGCTCGACCATGAGCTTCTTGTCTTCTTCAGACCAGCACTTGGCACGCATAGGACTGTCAGGGAGCCTGAAGATAACGTATATGCCCCAAAGGAAGGAAACGCAGCCATAGGTGATGAAAATGGCCTGCCATGAGCGGATGGGCGCATTTCCGGGTGACTTGAGGTAGCTGGAATGGTGAATAGTGGAGAAACCGTAGGCCAGAAGGCCTCCGACAATTTGCTGCATGCCGTCTAAACAAAGAAGTCAGTGTGATGCCCAAGTATGAGTGTGGTTACCACTTACTCATCATGTACCAGTATGTGACGATTTGTGCTTGCTCCTCTCGCCTGTACCAAAGAGAAGTCATGACCAGGAAGGCAGGCTGGCACACAGCTTCGAATACACCAAGCAAAGTTCGCACACTGACGAGTGCAGGGAAGCTGAAGCAGAGCGCGTGGCAACAAAGAACAGTGCTCCATGCCAAAATATTGGCTCCAAGGTATTTGGCAACAGGTACCCGCTGAATGATCCAGTTGGTAGGGTATTCAACGACGAGCACCGCAAGATAAATACAGGTAGTAAGCCATCCGAACTACGATAAGTCAGTCAATTGTTTCATTCAGAGCTTGACGAGTTTTGTAACTCACAGTTTGGTTCGACTTTAGAACTGGTATATCGTCGCGAATGCCCATGATGGAGGTAGCCGACATGGTGCCCTTGTCCAGCGCCTGAAGGAAGTATGTGATGACCATGATAGGAAGCACACGTCTATCAATCATGCGCTTCAACCTCTTGTTCTCCTCTTCTGAAATGTAGACCTCTTGGGCACCCGCATATTTGGCAACTTCTTTGTCGATGCGGCTGTAGTCGACTTGCGGGGGCTTCTCATCGCCTACGGAGAGCACTCGCTCAACCTGGCTGATGTCCTGCTTATCGTCGGGGTGGCCAGGGGTGGCGGACGCGGTGTGCACCCCTTCTGCACTGGGTCTGCCCATGTTGTGAAGACGCCCCGGGGAATTGACGATGGGGAGATATTGAGGGTGGAGAGAGAGGATCCAGTGGGCTGTCCGTCTGAAGGAGTTCTGGCCGTGATATTTCTACCTACCTCGTTTAGATTATCCGTCCAAGCGTTCCCCAGCCTACCCCATGGTGGCAGGCTACTCCGCAAATTCTCTGGGGCACGAGCCTGCACCGTTCCGCCTAGCCTGAATTGAGGATGAAGATTATCTCCTTGTTTCCCTTCCCCAGTTTAACGTAGGATTACGGTAAGCACACGGTGCAGTAGAGGTGAGCCAGTGGCACCAGCGCTGCATCCTGAGTCGCTGGTTCCGAAGGTTACCAACCCCATACCCACCCGGGCGTCCATACAGTTGTGGAGTGCTGCAGAATGCGGAGTCGGAAATACGGTACGCAGAATCAAGCAGTGTGGGGGGGTACCAATTCTTGGCACATGCCCCAGCTTGGTAAGACGTCGGCACAAATGCTGCCGAACCGCCCCACATACGCTTATGAAGGACAGGACTATAGGCTAAGCTCGTGCGAAGCTTCGTCGCAGGCCGGTGGCTGCTGGTGGGATATTTTTCTCCGTTCTCGAGTTGGTGGCGGTTATCTTGCCTAGGTTTACGTCGGTCGCACTTCCCAGCCCGGAGCCTTCCGCCCAGGGGATTGGCCTTCCGTCATGTCGGTATAGTGATTCACGAGCGTCGGTGCATCGCATGGCGAATGTGACAAGTATCCAACGTGGCTCCACGGTAAACTCTACCGCACATGCTGACATTGATGTTCGAGAACAGGCAGAAGCGGAGCCACGTCTTCCAGAACTCGGTCGGAGTATACACGGGCGAGTCGGTGCAGCAGGACACGAAGTCTGATGGGCAGAAAGTTCCCCAGTTCTTGGTACCCGTTGTATGTAGCTCGACCGAGTATGGAGCCGACAGGGATGCTCCTAATATCCACGTGCTAGAGTGTGTCTGCACCGGCTTCTAATACTCAAGTAGTTCCCACAATTGAAATCTAACACTGCATTCACAATCAGATTCTACTGAGCACACGATACGCGCTCATCATGTCTACCCTCACAGTCCACGGTCTTACCAAAGGCCAAATAGATGAGAAGATTCTGCTCCTAACACACAACCTGATCAACATCCACGACACAACTGGCGAATTTCTCTTGAAATTAGACGATGGTCGTGTAATCGATACCAAAGGCTGGGACGGCTGGGAATGGACGCACGGCATTGGACTCTACGGCCTATGGCACTACTACACGCTGACGGGCAGCACGGCCACGCTCGATATAATCAAGGGCTGGTTCGACAAACAGCTCAGCAAAGGCACTACCAAAAACATCAATACCATGAGCCCGTTCCTCACATTGGCCTACCTGTATGAAGAGACGGGAAACAAGACGTTTGTTCCTTGGTTGGATACGTGGGCGGAGTGGGTCATGCATGGTTTGCCCCGCACAAAGTTTGGTGGTTTCCAGCATGAGACATACAACTCTTTCAACAAAGATGAGCTATGGGATGACACACTCATGATGAGTGCTCTGCCCCTCGCCAAGATTGGTCTCACTCTGAATCGACCCGAATATGTCGAGGAAGCCAAGCGTCAATTCATCCTGCATTGCCAGTACCTATGCGACACAAGCACAGGTCTGTTCTTCCACGGCTGGAAGTGGGAAGACAAGGGTGGATTGGAAGTCGGACACAACTTTGCGGGGGCCCGATGGGCTCGCGGGAACTCGTGGTTAACAATCGCGATTCCGGATTTTATCGAGTTGCTGGACCTGAAGGAGACGGATCCTCTTCGGCTTTTCCTCGTTGGTATACTTGAGTCGCAATGCCGGGCGCTACTGAAGCTGCAATGTGAGAATGGTATGTGGCGAACGCTCCTCGATATCCCGGTCGAGGAAGGCAGCTATGAGGAAGCGTCAGCCACTGCAGGCTTCGCATACGGCATGCTCAAAGCTTGCCGAAAGCGATATATCAGTGGAGAGGTTTACCTGCAGAGTGCGGTTAAGGCGATCAAAGCCGTCATGAGCAAAATCAGCGCAGAGGGCGAGTTGACGGAGACTAGCTTTGGTACAGCCATGGGACATGACTTGCAACATTACAAGGATATTAAGATTACGAGTATGCCGTATGGACAGGCCATGGCCATCATGGCGCTAGGAGAGTTCATGAGAACTTTTATCTAGAAAAATCAATGCATAGGTCCCTGTCGGGATACATGCCCAGTCAGTTTTGCCCGCATTGCTCCTTTTTACTAATCCCCTCTCTAGAGTAAATGTTCCTGAAAGGCAATATTCTCTGCACCACTAGATGACCCCGCAACTTCACATAGCCTCTGCTTTTCTGTAGCGCTTCGACGATTGGCAGGTCTTGTAGAGGTCCAAGACGAATCGGGTATCGCATCGCGACGGTGTTTCTTGCGCGTGGGGGAAGGGTGGTCGTCGTCATCGTCAGGGGGTATCGTGAAGCCTCCTAGAAACAACCGACTAGAATGGTCTGTGGAGCTCAGGGTTATTGAACGCTTCTCACACCACGCGGTATGACGCTTGAGTCAGCTACTGTTTGTTGTGCAAAAGGAAAAGCGCAGTGATAGCAATTGCTGTGGTTCTCTAGTATAAGCTAATGGCATGGCCACATTCTAGGCAGCTACTCTAGGTGAGGCTGTAGCTTGGTACTTTCGGTAGGGAGCTGTCTTGTCGCTCGCGGTTGACAGCTGTTCAATAGCAGTCACTCGTAATATCATTGTAGACAGCCGTAGTGTGCAGACTAGTGCAAGCAGCGAGGACAAACAAACAAGCGTAGGCGACAGGCACGTCGACACGCAGGATGCATGAAGTCGCGATTGTTCTGCCCCTCGCCGCTAGCAGTTGCTGGGGAAAGCGCGTTTGGCGGTGAGGCGCAATGGCAAGGGCGGGCCCACTCTGATTGGTCGGGCGGCGCCCTTCTCTGCGTTTCTGCCGCTCTGTCTAGAAGATTCTCGAGCTCCACCAAAGGCTATATCAGCTCCAAACTCGACCCTTCTCACTGCAGTTTCTTCATCGAATTGCTTCTCTCTCGCTCGCATCATATAGACATTCAGTCTTGCAGCCTGCTCTTATCTCCACGCTATAGAAGAGCTCAGTAATCCAACTACCCCGCCTAACCGTACGTCTTCCCCACATTATCAACATCACAGCCTAGTCAGGCATTGGGACGGCTAGTTCGTAGTGTGAACTCCAGCTGACTCTGTGTCTTGCAGTCAAACACTCACACAACCGCCGCCATGTCTGGGGAGACCTTCGAGTTCCAGGCTGAGATCTCTCAGCTGCTCGGCCTTATCATCAACACCGTCTACTCGAACAAAGAGATCTTCCTACGAGAACTCATCTCTAACGCATCCGATGCCCTCGACAAGATCCGATATGAAGCCCTCTCAGACCCCAGCAAACTCGACAGCGGCAAAGACCTCCGCATCGACATCATCCCAAACAAGGAGGCCAAGACCCTCACCATCCAAGATAGCGGTATCGGTATGACCAAGGCCGACCTCATCAACAACCTGGGTACGATTGCCCGCTCAGGCACAAAGCAGTTCATGGAGGCTCTGTCAGCCGGTGCCGACATTTCCATGATTGGTCAGTTCGGTGTTGGTTTCTACTCTGCATACCTTGTTGCCGACCGTGTTACCGTCGTCTCCAAGAACAACGATGACGAGCAATACGTCTGGGAGTCAAGTGCTGGTGGTACATTCAAGATCACTGAGGACACTGAGGGCGAGCAGATTGGTCGTGGTACCAAGATCATCCTCCACCTCAAGGAGGAGCAGATGGACTACCTCAACGAGAGCAAGATCAAGGAGGTCGTCAAGAAGCACTCCGAGTTCATCTCATACCCCATCTACCTTCACGTCTTGAAGGAGACTGAGAAGGAGGTTGAGGACGAGGACGCTGCTGAGGAGACCACCGAGGGCGACGAGAAGAAGCCCAAGGTCGAGGAGGTCGACGATGAGGAGGAAGAGAAGAAGGAGAAGAAGACCAAGAAGGTCAAGGAATCCAAGATTGAGGAAGAGGAGCTCAACAAGACCAAGCCCATCTGGACCCGCAACCCACAAGACATCACCACCGAGGAGTACGCTTCCTTCTACAAGTCGCTCTCCAACGACTGGGAAGACCACCTTGCCGTCAAGCACTTCTCCGTTGAGGGTCAGCTCGAGTTCCGTGCTATCCTCTTCGTTCCCAAGCGTGCGCCCTTCGACCTCTTCGAGACCAAGAAGACCAAGAACAACATCAAGCTCTACGTCCGCCGTGTCTTCATCACTGACGATGCCACTGACCTGATCCCCGAGTGGCTCAGCTTCGTCAAGGGTGTTGTCGACTCCGAGGACCTTCCTCTCAACCTGTCTCGTGAGACCCTCCAGCAGAACAAGATCATGAAGGTCATCCGCAAGAACATTGTCAAGAAGACTCTCGAGCTCTTCAACGAGATCGCCGAAGACCGTGAGCAGTTCGACAAGTTCTACTCTGCTTTCGGCAAGAACATCAAGCTTGGTATCCACGAGGACTCGCAGAACCGCGCATCGCTTGCTAAGCTCCTCCGCTTCAACTCCACCAAGTCTGGTGAGGAGCTGACCTCGCTTACCGACTATGTCACCCGCATGCCTGAGCACCAGAAGCAGATGTACTACATCACTGGTGAGTCGCTCAAGGCTGTCCAGAAGTCGCCCTTCCTCGACACCCTTAAGGATAAGGGCTTTGAGGTTCTGTTCCTTGTCGACCCCATTGACGAGTACGCCATGACTCAGCTCAAGGAGTTCGACGGCAAGAAGCTTGTCGACATCACCAAGGACTTTGAGCTTGAGGAGTCCGAGGAGGAGAAGAAGGAGCGTGAGGCCGAGGAGAAGGAGTTTGAGGGTCTCGCCAAGAGCCTCAAGACTGTTCTCGGTGACAAGGTCGAGAAGGTTGTCGTTTCCCACAAGCTTGTCGGCTCACCCTGCGCTATCCGTACCGGCCAGTTCGGTTGGTCAGCCAACATGGAGCGTATCATGAAGGCCCAGGCTCTCCGTGATACCTCCATGAGCTCGTACATGTCTTCCAAGAAGACCTTCGAGATCTCGCCCAAGTCTGCTATCATCAAGGAGCTCAAGCGCAAGGTTGAGGCTGACGGTGAGGATGACCGTACTGTCAAGTCCATTACCCTCCTGCTCTTCGAGACTTCACTCCTGGTCTCTGGCTTCACCATCGACGAGCCTGTTCAGTACGCTGAGCGCATCCACAAGCTCGTCTCTCTCGGCCTCAACGTCGATGAGGAGGTTGAGACCGAGCAAGAGAAGGGCGAGGCCGCGACAGAGCAGACTGCGACAGCCGGTGAGAGCGCGATGGAGGAGGTTGACTAAACGTCTCGCCCGAATCGCCCGGTTTCGAAAAGTTTTATTGGCGCTCTGATATCCCTTTCATGTGTCATGGCTTTCATTCCCTTTCTACACCTCACTTGCATGATGGACGGAGCTTAATCTTCGATGGCGTCTTAGAGTGGTGGTATTTCACGCATCACGAGTAAATGGATATCCCGAAATGTATCTTAGTTAGACTTACCTCTGGGTAGTTTTTCATGAATGATGAAACGTTAAAAACAATGATTGCTTTTTCAATGTGCCTGCGAGCTAGTGGTTGATGCTTTTTGTTGTTCGGTGTGGTGCCCATGTCCCCTGCTCAGGTATCAATCGAACAACGACCCGAGTCCAGCGTCGCTATACTATCGCCCAACACCCGCCTATGTTGGAATATGTGTCGCAATCGAAACAACAACGGCTTCAGGGTCTTACGTCGTTTATGCAACGGTAATCGTCCCGTGGCCCAAAAACAGGATCTTCCAGCCTGGGCTGCCGTAGTACCGCAGGGATATGCAGGACGCATGACGTATGAGGAGGCGCGTTCTCAATGTCTGGGCCGTAGCTGTCAAGAACGGATCTCCGAATGGTAAACCGCTTTCATTGCCAGCTTACACTATTTGCTATCTATGAAGCTTACAATCTAGATTGTGCGATTAACAACATACCATTGTCAACATGTCAGCCGTAGATCAGCTTAAGCAGCAAAATGCTGCACTACAATGTGGGTTAGTAGAATCTAATGAGGACATATGCTAATGTCGTTCAGCAAGCGTAGGAAACGTATCCAAAGTCGCTGGGTCAACTGCAAAGAAGCCGGCGACGACCATCGACGCAGGCGCTACACCAGTCAAGAGAGTTCCGAGAAAGCTCAATGCCACGAGTGCTTCTGCTCCTGGTACTACGAAAGGAGCATCAGCCGCGACGTCGACGCCTGTGAAGAAGCCAACAGCTACTGTTACAGCCAACAAAGCTGCGTCTACTACCACATCTGCGAAAAAGGCACCGGTCACAGCAACCAAGACACCGATCAGTGAAGCTTCAAAGCCCGCACGTACCCGCATACCTCTTGGAACCACAAAGCCACTGCCAGTTAGGAAGAACCCGACTACAAGCACCTCAACTTCTAAGCCCGTGAGTGCTGCTAGTAAGACAACGATATCCGGGCCTGCCAAGGGCACTACAGGCGCAGTCTCATCTGCTACAGCGAAATCTACATCCACAAAAGCCACCCCAGCGAAAGCTGTGCCCGTCAAGAAGACGCCAGCCAAGGTGAACCCAGATGGTACCACACCCACCAAAGTGAATATAGATGGTACCTACCCAACTCCTCTTTCCGTAATACTAGCTCATCCCGCACCAGGCCAACCCACACCCCAATCTACCATAGCAGCGAAGAAGCAGCCCGGTGTGGTTGGAAAGGGTATCAACACTGCTACAGGCACTCTGAACAAGACTATTGGTACGACCACAGGGGGATTGAACACAATCACTGATTCGGCGACCACTGGCGTGAACGGCACAGTTACCGGGGTGACTGGATACGCTGGCAAGGGGCTTGACAAGTTACCTGGCGGTGTTGGGAAGCCAGTGAAGCACGTGACAGACAATGTAGGTAAGACGGCGACAGGCGCAGTGGACAACGCGTACTACACTGTAGGTTCGGCGACCAAGGGAGTGCAGGGTACTGTGAGCAAGACTACTGGTGCTCTCGGGAAAGGAGATATCAAGGGTACCGTGGCCGGGGCGACCAGCGGAGTCGGTACGTTCCTTTCTTTCCCCCTGACGAGTCAGCGAGCTGAGAACTTTAAGGCAATACTGTCACAGGAGTTGGCAAGGGCGTAGGAAATACAGTTGGAGACGGACTTGCAGGCTTGGGAAACACGGTTGGAGGCCCCGTCGGCGGTGTTGTAGGCAATGTAGGTAAGGGTGCCAACAATGCCGTTGGAGGCATTACCAGCGGACTAGGGGACGGTGTAAGCAAACTCGGCCGCGGGGACGTAATTGGCGGGGTGGGAAGCACGCTCGGAGGAGTTGGAAAGGGCCTTGGTGGGCTCCTAGGGGGAATCACGGGGTATGGAGAGAACGAAAAAACGACATGAAGGTGCAAGGTAGAGAAGTGGCTGGCGGAGATGGAGCGGATAGATGAAGGGGTGGTAATTTCAGATGATGTGGATATGGTCGTCGGCGCAGAGGGGATTAAGGAAGTTGGAAGCGAAGCAAGCCATGATGCCAGTTGGGTAAGGATGGGCCTTGCTCAGCATAGAGAAGAAGTTTAGTAGACATGATATTATATCACGCCAGACGTTCACACAAGCACGTTACAATATGTCCGCCGCCGTTAGTCGACAATTAAGTCAGTAGGCCGTGAGGAAAAGGGCTGAAGGCTTCGCAACGGGCCGGGTCATTTACGAGCATGAGTGGGAGCCACAGCCACAGCCATCGGTCCATGCTCATGATCGCTCGCCTATCCGAATCTTTGGACGGTTCACTGGCCCTACGGCCCTTCTTCGCTATCGAGCTGGCTTGTTACCTGATCGTGCCGAGTCGCTCCTACTTCGGCAGCCCCGCATCGCAAGGCGCTGCCTCTTATGCTCAAGCCTATCCAAGTCGACCCGGCGTCTTGAGGGCATCCCCTTGATATCATTGCGTCTCTATACGGCCCTCTCCCATGCTCGCATCTACCGGGCTGGATGACTGCGCCACTTCCCGCGTCACTCTTCCGAGCTGACGCCCAACGACTTCGTAATTGCCATGATTTCCGATTTCCAATTTCCAAATCATCAAATTCGCTCCAGGCTGCGGACGAAACCTCTATCGGCTTCAGTGCCGTTTTGGCCTGTCAGATACCATGTTACCGGACTTAGTGCATCGCAACACGGGCGATTTGCAGCCAAGCTTGCGACACGAGAGACTGCACTGCACCTTGCGTCCCAACGCACTTTGCAAAACCCGGGCCCGGGCACCTCGTAAGCTGCACAAGCCCCGCATTCTTGTTATGCTGTGACACACGTCTCGAAAGCTTGATTCAAGCTGGCGACGAACATGTGTGGATCCGTAACAGCTGTAGTCCATACCTCTATACTGCTTGACGCGTATGCTTCAGACTCGGCATGCTGGTTTCTACGTGGCTTCGCAGCGCCCATCGTGGCTACTTGAGAAAACGAGGCAGATCGCGACAGGCGCTGACAGCCGTTGCGACCTCATCAGACCACTCTTTTGCGTGATGAAATTATTATCAGACCCGAGTACTGTAGCGGATTAGCGGAAGATCGAGCCACATCCAGGGATCAAACCATCTGCGCTCGTCTATTTACGAGCGTAAACAAACGGCGCCATGGCAAGTGGAACAATAGCGCCCTTCTAACGCACATCACGACGTTTCCAGCCCTTTCCGAACAAGCCCGATTGGCCCCGCCAGCAACGTCTGTTCTGGTGCAGCAAAACAGGGTGAGATGCGGCTGTGCGTGAAAGAGATCGCTACAAGGGTTGAATTCACTCACTCATCTAACCGACTACTGCAGCTTAGCGCAGGCTGATTCCACACTTCAGCACCCGTCCGACGCCGACTTTCACTTTCGATAAATAATCTCAGCTGCCCTCACTGCACGTGGCTTTTACCATCCATCCTGCGAGGAACGCCTAAGAGATACCATTGGAGGAATTGACCATCACTCGGTGCGCCCGCTTGCTAGGGATATACGAGAGTAGTGCGCTAACAAGGTCTAGATCCGTTGGCAAACAACCATCGTACTACCATACAATATATCGTCATCCTCCCTTTCAGCTTCGACATATCCGACTCGATCTACCATTGATTCCCACCATGTTCACCCGAAGCGCTCTTGTTTTTGCATTCCTAGGCCTCACTAGCGCCTTTGCGACTCCTACCAAGTCTCTTCGCCTTGAAGACTTACAGTGCCGTTGTTTGTCTTTCTCAACAAGTGCAGCACCTACACTATGCACTTATCAAGAACTGGTCTCGCTCGATTGGGACGCTGCATACCTACTGGCAACGACCAATGATCTCAAGATCCAATTTGCGAGCGAAGCCGCTGTACATCAGGTGCTGTCAATACCCAGACATCTACCTACCAGCGTACTTCAAACTGTCCAAGAAGGAGAGGCGCGCCCATTGGACCCATCGAATAGGATCCAGAATGAGAATAGGATTATATGCGGTTTCGGTGATGAAATTGAGGTCGTAGGCAATGATGACAGGGATTCGGTACCGGAGATACATTACATTGGCGCGGTACTGGGCATATTCATGTCGCTTCTTATCATCTACCTCATTGCGGAGTTTATTTGGATCAGGTCAGTTAGTTTTACTCGCATTTGATACGAACGACTTATTAACCCCACATCAGATTCGTAACTCGAACAGGAAGCATCAAGCTCGAAGGCGATGAGAAAACTCTGGTCGCTGACTGCGAATCAACACCCCTGATTGTTACACTCCTGAACCAAGGCGTATACAATACATCGCCATCAAGCTTGCCATGAAGACGGTCACGAACAAGAAACATGCGTCTGGATATGTACCTGCCTTCATGGCAAACCCATCAATGAGGATATACTCAGACGACACTAAACATCAAATCATGACGATACGACACACATTTCCTTCTACCTCACAATGTACACGACAATGTGTCCACTCATCGATACCGCACCACACCCACACCTTTCCAGCATCCGGCACACTTGCGCGTTACAACTAGACAGCGCAAAGTGTTCTCGGGGAATTGTATGCGGCACAGGAAGACAGGGAGAAACAATTGCGATCTGGATCAAGCGGGGTAGTCCAAGTAGGCACCGCGAGAGCCTCCCAAGGCTAGACATGTAGGCAAACAGAGAGCCAACAGTAGAACAACGGAGCAAGTAGACTAGAAGGAGAACAACACGGAAACTTTAACATATACCACATAAAAAGATATTATACCCTCTGCCTCTCTCTTCTCACCCCTACCGTCTCTCGGTTTGACTTTAACTTTGACATGACATACGTGCTCGTGTTGTATATGAGTGTCAAAACCAGGTTCCCATGATTATACCCAACGCTATTCTTAGCCCATGTCTATATTCCACTCCTTCTGTCCGCCCATATAATTTGAAATATGTCTCATATTACAAATGTTGGACAGGAAGATTACTCGTGTTGGTCAGCAAGAATTCTCACACGTGGATAACACGCGATAGCTTTCTAATGGAAACATGTCAGGCACTACGTGCTGATGTTGGGAACGGAAGCTTGTTACTCTATTCCTTTATTCCTTTGTGTGTATGTACCTAAAAAGCCCTAAGAATACATATTGCAGCGAAAGCAAGACTGTACTCCCCGCCTTCTCTTTCTTCTTCTCCATCCACCTTAGTGCAGCCGCGGTTTTATAGACACCATTGATTTTTCTCGCGCCAACATTATATGCAAAAGACAAAAACGCAAAGCAAAGCATAACCAAGAAAACAAAACAACACGCTCATTTCATCGGTGGGGGGGTATAAACGCTATTCGTTTTTCGCTTGCAAAGGCCGCAAACTATTACTCTAAATAATGAAAATGAGCTTTCGCGGGATTACTCTCTGGCTGAAGCCGTCTATTCTGCTCTTCTCGTTCTTCTCTCTCCGTATGGTATGTACTTCCTGGACAAAACACGCTCAAAAAGAATAGGGCGGAGATGCGTATGCGTTCGGTTCTGTGCAATTCGGCAAAGGAAGACGTTGATATTATGGAATGCTCACTGAGCAGACTGGGGGTAGAAGAGTTGAGCTTTTGGTTCGTACAGCCTATTAAAAGTGTTAGTTTTGGATGTCGTTTGCCTTTTCTTCCTGGAGCCAGCGACTTACATGAACGTCTCGTAGCGAACCCCCCTCTTCTTTTCCTTGCGGTCCACATTGTCGCTACCGCTGTACAAGACAGGCTCCCAAGACATGACATCCTTCCATCTCGTCATCAGTCTTCTCCAGTAACAAGCCTCGGCTGCCTGTGTCAGATAACGCTCTCTGAAGACTTGTACAGAGTTGTCCGCGATGCGCCTGGCCTTCTCAGGATGATCGAGTAGGTCCTCGACTGCAGAGGCGAGATCAGAAAAGTCGCGCTCGACTTCGACATAATTTTGGTTGCTTCCGTTGGCGCGGAAGAGGTAATGGTGGTGTTGTATCCATTGGAGTTTGTGGGATACGATTACTGAACGGCAGAGTTGGCGGTACTTCAGAGAGCCAGAATAGGAGCGACCTGCAAATCTTGTTAGCTGGTGTCTAGTATTGTAGCTTGGTATGAGCTGCTGTACCCTCGGCGTGTGCAATGAACATGTAGTTGCACTGGTCCACTGGCCCTAGGAATTGATCTTTGAAGTTTGGATCTGTCCACTTGAGCTGGCCAACATCGCTCCACGGCTTGCCCTTGGCCGCGTCGAGTAGCGCTCTACGCAACTTAGGCGCAAAGGTGATTTTCCCTCTCCAGACCAGCTTCTCAATCTTCTGATTCCACGGCTCTCGGGTCTCGCGCTGTACCGCTTCCCGTGCCACCTCGTCCAGAGTGCCCAAAGCAGGCATATCCCAACTCCAGAAGCCAAAATCTGGCATCAACCAGAGGCTGTGGTCTTGGACGCGGCGGGTGAGCGACCATATAGGCTTCGCGGGCTGGGCGGGCAGGTCTTCTACAGAGAAGGCAAACTCGATGTTTGGCATATCGGCATTCGCAGGGGCAGCGAGGAGGGCGCGGTAGATGGCACTAAGGATGGCGAGAGCTTTTTGGCGGTTAACGTTATCGACCATGTGCGTCTCAAGGATGTAGAGCTGTGATATTCACGTTAGTATACTCTTGCCACAAGCACGCTCCGATGCACCCAAAGTTGTACCAACCTCTCTGTCAAACACCATGGCCCTGACCATGCCCTTGGTAAGCTCAAAGCTGTTCAGCTCGGCCTCGGTCACCTTGCCCCAGCGATCCCGCACCTTGACGGCCCGCTCTATATCCTCATACTGCCCCGGGAATGCGCTCGTACAGTGTGCCTCGTCCAGACCATAGTTGTTCTTGTCGCGCGGGTAGGTAAACGTCCACAAATTCTGGTTGTCGAGTTCGGTCGTATTGGCGGCCAAGACAGACTGGCTAGCGGCGCAGTCCAGACACGTATCGCAGGCGAAGGTTGTACTAAACTCGCACTGGCAACGGCCAGCAGGCATATACTCCTTGACCAACGGTGGTAGCGAGGGGTTCTGGCTGCGGGTGCCATATAAGATGGTACATATGAGTAGGAAGAGCAAAGCGCATGCGGTTACGAAGAAGAAGGACAAGACCTCGGTACCCGTGGGGCAGCGACGGCGGTATACAGTCTTGTCCTTGCGCTCCTCCACAATCCACATCTTTCTCATGAGCATTTGCGCTAGCGGAAACCGGGGGACACGAAAGCGAGGCACGATGGCGCGGGAGCGAACACACGCGATGGGGACGGTCGCGTGTGTTTATATAAGTGACTCTTCGGGGGCAGCAGGCTCAGGCCGGAACGACATGAATGGCGAGTGTATTAGGTGAATATGTACAAACGAAGGAGAGGGCTAGGGGTTGACTGAGTGCTGACGGCGCGAGTGGTGATGCGACAGGGTGAAGTGAAGGGCGATGCTTGGGGCCAAGCCGCGGGCGTAAGAAGGAAGAGGGGCAAGGATGTGGTGCAGAAGAGAAACAGCAACAAAGCTTCACAGTGGATGCCGCATCATGGTCAAAACGTTTGCCCCATTGGAGATACGGTGAGGCGTTGCGGAGAGTAATGAGTGGGAAAAATAGGGTCAAGATCGGACTGGGACCCATCTTGAACAAGGCTTGCCTGTGGACAGGGGGGCGGGGTGTGCCTAAAACGATGCTGGGAATCACACGTACAGTACGGGCCCGGAGTCGGCTAGAACGACGCTGAGAATCACACGTACAGTACTGGTACGGGCCCCGAGTTGCATGCTAGGAAAGGAAGATACGGGGTGCACGCCGTCGCCCGTTGTCTTGCTTACCCTGGTATCAAAGACAGCGACAGCGACAGCAACAAGCGGCATGGTCAAAAGCGCATAAGCAGTCACATATTGCAAGCATTGTGGGGGTGTACAAGCGAGCCTTGCACAACCTGCTGCACTGTATGCGTCTCATTGTACAAGGCCATTCACGCACTGCTTTGACATCAGCCTGGGAACTGCCCAGGTGTCAAACACGCGCGGCCTTGTAACTAGCAGCTGCCAGCCCAAAGGAGTAAGGCGTCTGCAAATTACCTGTCCAACTACCATATGTACGTACCCTCGCAGTGCCCCATACAAGCCGGGAGGATGCAAATCAGTCTGACAGCATAATTACCGCTACTCCGCGAGTGCGAATCTATCTTTTCCATCCTTGGCAGATTGCGCCTCGTGCTTGCGCCTTTCCTCTAGGCACGTGATGGTGCATTATCGTGGAATCTTATAACTTCAAACCGTTGTTCTAGATGCTGGACGTGCGACGGCCACCTTGTGTGCTAGCGGAAACCCCTCAAAGTCAATTTCCGAGACAATCTTCCCCGTTAGTTCAGGAGCCGCCCGTTCACAGATCGACTGTGGCTTGTGGGCTAGCCCTGCCACAGCCACAGCAGCGGCGACATAGTGTCGACGAGCGAGTGTGCACATCCGAAATTACTATTGCCATTTGCGTGGGTCAAGTCTACTGTACGTTTTGTGCACCATGTGCCAGAGCAGAATCCAAGGCCCGGCACAACTCGTGTGAGACATATACACAGCTTACTTCACCCGACACAACCATCATTGCTGGCACGACCATACGCTCGAAGATCATTGTCATATTGTACGACCCTTCATGCTATCAAACTCCCAAAGGCGCTCAACCCGCTCTACACAGGGAGGCCATCAATGCTAGACAAAACACCCGGCCCGAATGCAGTGGAATAAAAGAGAACTAAAAAGTCTAAGGGCACCTTGCCCAGCGCAACCGCCGAGGTGAATGGCTCAAAATGAAGTAACCGTCAATGTGTGAATGAAGGCTATGTACATGAGAAGCCCAAAAATAATCAAAAGTGAGAAGGTGTCTACAAGTGACCGAGGTCAAAGAAGTGAATGCTTGGGTGCCCTAGATAATAATGTGAGACCAGCGACCAACAAGCCCTACAAGACATTGTAGGAACATGTAAAGTGCCGACTGATGCCAGCGGCGCTGATCCTCACTACACATACCATCACCTATGCCGATAGTACGTGCATATCTTCCTCATCCGCATGGGGGCGGTATTGGAAGGGCTGGAAGGCAGTCATTTTGCCCTTGTGAGCGTGGACTGCCAATCCCATTTCGCGCATGCGTTCGGCACCACGTCCGGGAGCAGGACGCTTCTCCTTGGTGCCTTTGCGATGCTGCTTCCTGTACAGTTTCTCCTTGCGCCGCTGTTTCTTCTTCTCAAGACCCACTTTGATGTCAATGGCACGGCGCACAGGCATGTCGGACCCATCAGCGTCTTCATCTTCGTCGAGATCAAATGGGTTCTGCATTGTGATGGGAGTTCGAGGAACAGAGGCAGATACTAGAGGGGCAGGCCTCTCAGCGATACCGCCGAAGCGTATCGACACTTCGCTGCGCTGACGAGCGGCCATGGGGTTGACCGAGCCGCGCCGAGTAGGCGGTGGTGACCGAAGGCGCATCTGAGGCGGAGGCGAATGGAGGCGATTAGGGGGTGAGTTCCCGAACAGCTTACGTGGTGGAGGAGAGCGGTGCGCGCCACGCTTTGCAGGTGGGGGGGACCGGAGTCGTTTTGGTGACGGCAAGGGGGAACGCTTCTTGTGAATGTCTTTGCGCCGGCCTCGTACGTCGCCATCGACAGGGTCCATGCCATATACCATGAGGTGATCAGTCTCCGAAGCAAGGTTCTCCACTTCGGAAACTTCATCCTCATCATCATCGTCATCCGGAAGTTCGGGGTCCGATGTCGGAAAACTAGGGTCAATATCTTGCGGAGTAGGCTTATGCTTGGCTGCGCGCCGACGCTTCAACGTCGACATGTACGCAGCTTCGGCCGGCCGGTCTTCATCCAGCGTGCCGCAAACAAAATCAGTGCTGTCAGGCAACTCGGGACTTGATGCGCGAATATTGACTGGCTTGGACTTCCTGCGCTTGGATGGCTTGTCTGAGATCTTGAGACCATCACGACTTTCCAGGGATCCAATCGACGACTCGGATACGGTTCGGTGAGTCTTCAATCGGAGTTGTTCCATATGCTCTACAGATGTAGCCGCAGTAGAAGCCCCAGGCGCCCACCAGTTGTAGTCAGAACCAGCGTCACTTTCGTCATCTGAGACTGCGAAGCCGTTCTCATCATCAGTCTGGAAGCCCTCGTCGGTGACGTCGCTGTACGCATCGCTGCCATCTTGGTCCTCGTCGAGCAGATCATCATCATCATCGTCCATCTCAGCAATATCATCGTCCTCGTCCTCGTCTTCCTCGTCTATCGCCTCTTCTTCTGCAACTTCTTCACCTAGCTTGCGTAGATTGTTCTCAATCTTGAGTGTATCTTGGACAGTAAGTCGGCTTCGGTGGCAAGTGATTTCCTGGGTCCATTCATCAACTTCCTCCTCTGAGGAAGCAAACTCGTGGAAACGGTATGCTTCGCATCGGGCAAGATCAGAGTTTGCACTTAATCGGCGGGTCCGGTCCACAGTAGAAGCCTTTCGGACACTGACTGGGGAGTTGTTGCGGATGGTAGAATCAGAGTCACGATGAACCTGAGGAGATGCCATCGGCGGGGCTATCCGACGTGGTGGCGGTGCGGGGCTGCCCATACGGCGGGGTTTGGCATTGGCCGACTCGGTCGATGGCTTGGAGGGGCACGCAAACTTGATGGTGCTAACACGCTTTGGAGGCTCTTCCGATTTGGGCGCAGGTGCCGGCTTTGGTGTTGCTTCTGCCGGTTTAGTTTCTTCTTTCGGGCCACATGCGAACATGATACATCTTTTTCTTCCTAGGACAGCTTCGATGTTCTGTTCTGTGGTCTGAGGCGCTGCCTTGTATAGTGGGCTGATGTTGTCATCATCGTGCGAGACTACTTTGACGTCTAGCTGCAACGGTTTCTTGTTGAAGGGGGGTAACATGCTGTGGAACGCCGCCGAGGGGAGCGGCGGGCTGGGCGTGCACGGCCGTGTACCCGGGCTTGTGAAGCCTCCGTCACTTGTGAGATCGGCGGTTCCGCTGTTGTTACTCCATGTGGAGATGCACGACATGCCGCGAATTGGGCTCTCATCGAAGTGCTCTTCGGCCGGCGAACTCGCATCGGAGCCATATTTGAGTGCCGACGTCAGGAGGGATTCTTTGCGATCCAGGACGGGTTTCGACTTTGTGAAAGAAGTTGTGGACGAGTTTCGGAGGTTCAAGGGCGCCGGACGTTGGACGCGAGGTTCAGGAGGTTCGTCCAATTCGCCCACGGCTTCGTCTTCGGCCATGACGACGGGCGGGGCGGCATTGGCCATGTTCTGTGGTGTGTCTATCCGTAACGCGCTTTGCCTGCTAATGTGGTGCTGCTCGTTGGCCATGTCGCTCTGTAGAGTCGAGGGAACGGATATGGAGTTGCTGGGTGCGGAATTGGAGTTTGGAAGTGATGCAGTGATGGTAAAATTGGCCGACGGGCCAGGAAATTATGGACGCGTTTCGTCTCCGCACACACACAATTGGGGCAGCGCTACCGGCGTCGGGAAATCAGTACAGAATGTCGTCTCGTGGACAGTGTCGTATATGCAGTAGAGAAATCGAAAGCTATCGATGGCTGTAGGTGAGGGTGGGGCCCCAAGGGAGGCAATGTTATAATATCGACAGAAACATAGTGTACTTGTGTGAAGTGAACCTTGGATGGAACTAAAGGCGAGTCTTTGGGACGTGTCAGAAGTAAAAAGCGTTAGGCATCGGGGGCATGTGAAGGGGTACCTGGTGAAGATGGCGTGGGCGACTTGTGGCGACGGCCCGTGGGGGTGCAGAGGGAGCGGCAGGAGCAGCTAGATGATCCCGTCGACTTGTGTTGTAGATGAATGGCGGATTCGGTAGTCAGGCGACTATGCACAGGTCTGCTGCGACAGTAGCGGCGCGACTGAGCGAGTCGGACGTGTAGGAGAGAGGAGAGAGAGGAATTTCATGTGCAATAGCGTCTCGGCACCATTCGGGAATAGTGGGTACTACCGGCTCTTTCCCTGGCACCGTGCGGAATGCAGCCAATGCACGCCTTGGCTTTGGCAAATGTTAGGTTTACCACGAGTAGTCGTATTGGACCAAGACTCCTTTATATTTTGGTTGAATTGTGTGCTTTTGTTCTCTTTGTTTGGCCCACTTGGACTTTGATTGAGATTGCGTTTGCTGAGTGCCCGAGCCACCAGCTCTTTGTGCCCCCCGCCATGTTTGGTCACTCGAACAAGACACAAGAAAGCCGGTTTCAAACATGCAGGGCACAGCCGATGGAAGACGCAATAGAGACACGCACCCCCTTGCGCTTCCTGCCCACCACTCTGGGCAATCCACCGCCAGAAGCTTTACCACGCCCCCAAACCTCGACAAGCGCCTGCAATCCGCCGACGCACCACAGTGAAGGAGGCCCGCGCTAATGACGCCCGTGCCCATATGGGCACCTGCGCGTGCTTCAGCCCTTCTTCTGACCATGCGTCCGATGCCCCTGCCCTCTACAGTTCGTATCTAATGCTCCGCTCCGCAGTCTGCACTCTCCGCCTAATGAACAGCTTTCGTATTGTGTTGGCACCGTAGCGGAGCTGCCCCCGTCGACCTACTTCAAATGCCTCATTTTTTACTGGATTACCTCATTCTTTTCCATGCTCCACAATACGCCTTCAATCTTCTCCTCCTGCCACCTTTTCACCTTTTCACCGCTGTACCACACCGCTCTTCTTCTTTCCCGTAGCTGTCCCGTAGCTGGACATACGACGCAGTGCACTGGGGGCCATCATCTGACTGGCTATGGCGCCATTGGACGTGATCCTCCATGGAGACGAGATGCACGATGCCCATCGTACGCCGCTGAGCCGTCGCATATAGTGTCCGCTTGTAGGTAGTCATCGTCGCCGAGTCTGGGGTTTCGTTCGCTGGCAACTAGTACCCTTGCCGATACCATTTCAACAGCAAGCGCCCTAGCCTGCTGCGAATGACCTTGTCCCAATCGCTGCCGTCTGGCATGATGCATGCGGGGAAGACTCTACCCCATGACGCTTTTCACGTTTTTAGAACCCTTCCTTGCCGGTGCGTAAGATAACCCTATGCGCCGGGTGCGCGCGCCCCCCACTACTACGGACGCTTGTTACACCAATGCTGTGACATTCGAACCGACATCGTGCACTTGCAAGATGGAAAATTGGGGTAACAGCCCGGGTAAACGGACGGCCTGCTACTTGCGGCCGCTAGGGTCTCCTCTGGAAACCATCCTTGTCATGTGCAATGACGTAATCTCAGTCATCCCAGCGTCTGACATCAGTTTACATCAATTCAGTCGATCAAATGCTCATACGTGTCGAGTATCCAGTACAGCCACTGTAGTCTCCAAGTCAGAGTAACATGTAGCATACCACAATTCGGCGCTAGACGAAGCCCGAACAATCTCCACCAGCCCACCTGACGCGGTAGCGCCTGGTTCCGCCATACTTTCCCTGCTCACCTTGTCCAAACCTCCTAACACGGCAAGCCGGCCCATGTCGCATCAACTCCAGTCCCAGGCCAGTGTCCAGAAACACCGCAGTAAAGCAACCTACAAACTGGAAACAATGTCGAGATCAACACGTCTTCGGAGCCCGACTGAGTGCCGGCTGACGTGCAGCTCAGCCTCATCTTCCACGCGGCACTCCTCCTATCCCGCCCATCATCTCACATACAATCAATGCTTTGCCTGAGGCATCCCATCTTCTGCACTAAACCCATTTCATGCGTTGTCACCAGGTACAAGATTTCATGGCATTCGGCCAAGTCTTCCACTCCCTTCACGTACTACTTTAATCTCGCGGTCATACCATTTCCCGCTTTCCGCAAGACACGTTGTACTTCAGCCAAGCCCTGGGCGTGGCCGCTTGTCCGTTTCATCGACACTGATCATCCGCGCGGGTCGCCGTAGGCCCGCGCGGCCAAGCCATTGTAAACTAACTGCTAGCCTAGAAATGCAATATACCAAGACTGATGTGCATCTTACAGCCAAGACTTCTGCGTAAGCCTTCATATCAATTGTAATCATTTCCTTATTTAGTGGTACCTCGCGATGTGGGGGGCGAGTTGGATCACGTTGGGGTTTGCTGATGTTGGATTACAAATTGTCCCGAGGGTTTCGAAATTGGTAGGTGACATATTCTGGATAATCATATGTCCAGAGTGACATGTTTACGCTATTATAGGAGGACAGGGATGGTCGCTTTGGATTGGTGTCATATACGGTACATACAACTGCTGCAGGGCACTATGGACCTCCATAATTGACCGAGGACAGTGAAGCTGCAGCGGCTCAAGACGCCTCCATCAGGCCGGTGCACAGTTTCATCAGTACTGCAGATAAGCAATGATAACCAATACATTCGATACAAACGCTTTAGTTTCATGCAAATGACTGTCCTTGGAAGGTTTCGAAGGAGGCTGTGCATCTGGACGCAGTGTTGAGGGAAGGATAAGAGATACGAGTATCCGTTTTTTGAAAGTAAGGCGGAGAGACATACAGAAACAGAGATAGACAATATTGCAGCAATGCGAGAAACGACGACCTCAATAACGACCTGCAAGTACGGGGCAGAATTGAGGAAAATAGAGGCGTCCCCAGCGACCTAAGACGTGAGCTTGAATAGAGAGGGAGATGGACTTCACTCCAACCCATCGAGATCAAGGGACCATCTCGGTATTGGTATGAATCCTTATTGTACGAAACATGCCGTCATGCATACAGTTTTCTGCACGAGTAGACATGTACAACACGGCGATGACTCAAGCCAATGTGCTCCATATATGCGTGGTGTGTATTATTAATTACTTCAGATGGACTATATCACCATAGTTCCTATCATGTTTGAACTCCCTCGCTATGCTCTGAAAACAATCCATGTAGATCAAAAGCCTGTTGTGATGACCCATCCACCATTACTCAGGCAGTTGCAACGGCGTCAGCTCCTGTATCTGATTCCCCATCTGTCTCTTTGAAATATCCAACTCCTTTTTCCAATTCTCTCTTACAAAATCCAGTGTACGCGCAAAGACAAGCTCCCTCTCGCTCCTCTCATGCTGCGGTACAAATTTATCTGGAAATTGTGTCCAGCCGTGTCTGCACCCTGGGGCGTGCCAGACCTCGAGACCGCCGTTTTGCGAACTGGGTTCCTTGGATGAACCAGCTTGTCCGCCACTGTGGCCGTCCCAGTCACCTTCTCTTCCGTCGCCGAAACGGACAGGCCCATTCCAGTCGTTGTTGTTCATCCTGTCCACCCAGACATCGCTTTGAACTGCCAATGTGTCTTTTTCGGGTAGAACCAGAAAGATGGCAGCGTTTTTCTGGATATAGATGGGATCGTTTAGACCAGGGCTAGCTCGCGGATGAGATCGCAATCTCTTCGGTAGATATGTAGGTCCCATGATGGAGAATAAGCCTGGTGTTCTCGGTTTCTCGGTATGATGATCGTCTTCATTGAGGGCATTGGGCATGGGTTTCATTGGGCGCTCATGTGGTAGCAATCGCGCGTCCAAGGAAGGGTAAAATAGCAACAATGGCAGCATTCGCGGCTGCGCTTGAGGAGGAGGAAGTAGACTAGGCCATGATTCAAAAGGGTCGTCCAGAATTGTAGCTCTACGGTTCTGCGGCATGGTAGGCGACATACTGTCCGCCTGGGCATGGTCAATCGAACCCAAACGACGACCCATGGTGGGTGACATACTGCCAAGCTCAGGACAAGGCGGCACAGATATAGCCAGATTCAACGCAATGTTTCCGCCTGCGGAGAAGCCAGAAATGGCAAGACGCGTAGGATCAAGGGTGATGGTCTCGACGTCCTTGAAGTGTTGAGCTGCAGTTTCCTTCTTCTTCTGCTCCTTCTCGAGCGCATCAGACCGAACTATCGAGTAGTACCGCTGTATCTCTTCCCGCAAGACCTTTCCTGCTTCGGAAACTCCGCTTGTGTCCAGTATGGCTGATAGTACATCCTCCATATCGTGTATCGCGGCGGGAAACTGGTGGAATGGGCCAATACGGTACGACACGCTAATGACTACAGCACCAAGCTCGCGCGACATCATCGACGCATATGGCGCCTGCTCCAAGGGGCTGCCCATGATGAATCCACCTTTTATCGAGTCAGCATCGACGACGCATCGACGGCGGCAATTGCTTGCGCGCTATGGTATAAACATGGTAGCCTTTGCTGGGAACATACCTCCATGCGCATCTAGCACCACTGGTGTATGCCATTCTCCAGTCCGCTTTCGCTCCTCGTCGCCGTTTTCTTCCAGATCGACAGGTTTCGGTGGCACGAAAACGTATACGTAGATGAGGTTACCTTTCCTACTCGGTAGCGACATGAGGAATGGATGCGGTCCCTTGGGCGATGTGATGTGCAAAATGGAAAGCGGAACCCATCGCGGAAGCTGTACAAGCGCGGTCCTCCATTGGACGTGAAATGGGAGGCGAGAAAAGTAGGCAATCGAGTGCCAATAGCTGCTCATTGTGATGCTGGCGGAATTGCAGATGTAGCGAGTTCTCCTGTCATGACGTGGAGAGGTTGTATAATATGCGAATCAGGCGCGCGTTTGCACTTGGACGCGGGCCGCTGTCTGCCCAGGTGCGTGTCGCGCAAGCCATGAATTGGTGTGACGTCAGTAGTCGTTGTTGGGTCGAGCGAGATACAGGGAGCAATGGTGCCGTAGGCCGGAATTGTCAACTTCCAAGCTTTGTCCGCGCCTGGGCTAAAGCTTGTCAGACATAGCATTGACTTCGGACCATGGGCGTCACCCTCTCTACCATATGCAGAAAAGGGAAAGACCTAGAGAACTGAGTGACATGTTGCATATTTCTTTGGTACTCGCTTATCTTGCAACCATGGATGAGTTTCACGACTAATTTTGCGCCTACATTTGGACAACTTATGCATGTCCCTTTCCATCTCCCTGTCTTATTCTCATCTAAACATATCATAAACGCAATGATTCACTTATTGTCAAACAAAGATCCAAGCCCTCAGACCTCAAAGCGTGCTCGGCATGAGGGCAGTCATTCTCTCTCGACTCCTCTTAATTTTCTCATCTTCTCCGACACACACGGCGCCGAGCTTCCCCACAACCTTCCACCGTGCGACGTCATGTTACACTGCGGCGATTTGACTCAAGACGGGACCCCGGAAAGTATCTCTTCGGCCCTCGAAGCCTTGGGCAAAATCAAAGCCAAGTTGAAGCTAGTAATTGCAGGCAACCATGAGATTTCGCTAGATAAGCCATATTGGCTCTCCCAAGGCGGCACAGAAGCCGATGTAGAGCGATCTTATGCGCTTATCAGTCCCGAAAAAAAATTCAGAGGCAAGTAAAAACGGTGTCATCTTTCTTCCAGAGGGTACCCACACCTTTGACCTTCCATGCGGCGCCACTTTTAGCATTTACGCCTCGCCTTACACGCCTTCGTATGGCGCATCCGCCTTCCAGTACCTGTCTGGGGAGGATCGTTTCAATCCTCCAGGTGTGACTGCTACGTGGGCGAAGAATGTCAGTACCCAGACTTCGATCATTCCCAGTGGGGTAGACATTGTCATGACCCATGGACCATCGAAGTATATTCTGGATAGAGCTGGGGACGTGAGTGCGGGCTGTGAGCATCTGAGACGTGCCGTTGCTAGAGCGCATCCGAGATTGCACTGTTTTGGACACATCCACTCTCAACGCTGCGGCTTCTATGAGGCATACAGAGTAGAATTCAATGACCAGAAAGAACTTGGTGTAGAAGCTGGATCAACAAGTCCAATTTTGAAAGACTGGGTGGGAGAAAACCAAGCCCTTAGGAGAGGATTCAGAAGCCTGGCGCCAAATGCTGCTGAGGGTTTTCGTAACAATAAACAGCAGACGCTCTGCATAAACGCCGCAATGGAGGGTGAAGAAGGAGTGCTCGAGCATCCGCCGTGGCTCGTTAAGCTACATCTTCCTGTCAAACAAGAAACATGAGGTAGGCCTTGGTTTGCCGCAGGAACAATTTCTAGGTTCAAATCATCCCCTACTAAGGAAACCCGCTCTTCACAACAATGTCATCTTATTCCCCGCAGCGCCTGAGAGTACAAAACGTGCATGGTCCTTTGACACTTTCCTGTAGGCAACTAAATTTAGCCTTAGAGCGCAAGGAGATAGGAATGATCTCAATGCAAATAGATAGCAGCAGAGAATTCTACATTTTCAGCAGAGACACCTGCTTTCCTGTCGTATTTCGTTCAACTCTCTTCACTTTCCTCTCTGCGCATCATGTTCGCCTGTCTGCCCAGCCCAACCCCAGTGATTTCCCATATTCCACAAATCAACCCATACACCCTCTTTCAGTGCCGTATACGACGCAGTTCAATTTGCACTCACCTACGGAGGTTGCTCGGACCACTTCGCTTCGCGTAAACTTGCTTGGTATCAGAGCCGCTTTCACTGGTTCACCATCTAGGCACCACCTCGCCCTTCCACAAGCGACGAAGACCTTCTATAACGCCTTCGCAGACCTTCCCGCCACCGGCAGATCTTCGGGAGCCGGAGCTCGGCGGCCTAGTGCGCGCTCGGACTCGCCGCGTAGTATATAAAGACTTGTGCCCCCTCACTCTTACACTCTTTCTCCACACTCTCACACAAGTCGACCACTTCAAATCCCAATTCTTCCTTACATCACAAGAGGTTCCTTCCTCTTGCAATCCTGACCATGGCTCATCACAACAAATCGGATCGAACAAGGTATGTCTCGAATCACCTTCACCTTTCACACATTCACTGACTTGCCTTAGTCACATACATCTCCATGACATCATTCAAACCTGAGCATCGCTCTACCTCCTCCAACAACATCATCGCTCTATCTCCTCCAACATCGTCGCTCTACAATCCGACTTCATGATCAACACTTCACGATCAGCACTTCACTTGACCATGATCCAACATGGCATTCGTCGATGACTATCAACAACCTTTTACCAACCTTGAGCCATGATCAACCCTTCAACCAAACGTTCTGCCTCTGAGCTGGTGAGTTCCTCTTCTACCAGCTTTACAGTGTTCTGACAACTTTAGCCTGCCGCCCTCGTCTCCCCCGCTTCACAATGCATCCACATCTCCAAGCCCTCCTCAGGCCAACCAACCTCCCTCGCTTCGCATTGCATCCACATCTTCAAGCCCTTTTCAGGCCAACGAACATCCAAGCTTCACCCGATCGAGTTTCACCAGATCTCATCATGACATGGCGGCAGCGCATGCTCCCGGCAGACACAATCACATTCGCGCTTTGGTACAGGGTACAGTTCAGACTGTAGGTGGCCCTTGAGTGGTGGTTGGTGGATTGGCATACTGGTGGGATGTGCAGGATACATGGTCAAAGACAGAAAGATGAGGGATTGTGTTCCCGAGGAAACAGCTCTCGCTGGGATCTCGCTTTGGACCTAAAGGACTGCTTCGGCAGGTTTGATGGTTGGTGGTTTGATGATTCACTCACTCTTTGAAAGGTGTTGGAGGACAGATGGTCAATGGTGCGCAAGCACTAAACCAGGCCTACCTTTCATTGAGGGATCATCTCCCCCGCATACCTCTGATGGCGGGCTGTAAGGGCTTGGATCAATTCAAAAATGCGGCAGCGGCAGCGGCTGGTGCGAAAGACAATGGTGAGCGTGCCGGCGTCGGTGGTTGAATGGTAGTGTTGGCTCCTGTGTCTCAGCTTAGAGTAAATTGGTTGGATGTCGATCCAATTGGATATCATTGCAAGGAATTTTCAAGGTTCAAGGCTTCAAGGCTACAAGGCTGGGGTTTCTCCAAAGTGGAAATATCACCCACTTCTTTTTACATCTATGGCTTCCTCTAATTGCATTGAACTTCTGATAATATGCTGGTACTTGGATACTCACAGGATGTGTACTGTTCTTGAATCCTTTCTTTCTTCACTTGTCTAACCTAGCTATGCAACCATTCCTGAATGATCATCTACTTGACGTGCTCTTGTCAGGAAGCGATGTCGATCAAGACTACATAGGACGTTGAAATATTGGGTTCCACAACATCACAGAGCACCCCGCCATATTTGAACAAGATCATCCTTAACTTGCATTACTTTTTGCGGTGTTGTTACTGCCTTGCCTCGACATGTTCGTGAACTGTATTGACAGAGGCTCTCTACACCTGATTCAACGGTACTCTTGAATTGTATCCATGACTCCTGCGTCCGCATCTTTCCTTGCGACCCTTTATTGCCTGTACAACCGAGGTGCGCATGGGAGGTCCACCTTGAAATAAAGCCGTAAAAAGAAAACATTTCCCCCGGAATCAGCACCCGAAGAGCGATAGCGATAGCGAGAAGCTTGGACAAGGGGACTGGGAAAATAGCGCTCCCGTAAAGTGCGTACCTAGAGACGAGCGAACTCAATGGCTACTCGATGCGAAGGATATGCAGGCTGATAGCACCCATGAACTGCGTCTTTGGTGACCAGGACCAAGATACTGTCTTGGAACAATATGTTAATAAGACAATGGCGAAACCGAAGATTCTATTTCCCTCGCATGCAACGCTAAGACAAAGAGCGTGGTGGCGCCAGCAGGTTAGCGTCATTGGTGGCTTGGGAATCGAAGCTTGTCAGCGGTCCAGAGACAAGCAGGGCGATCTCCCGTAATCGGCTTCATCGGGGTAGAGCTATTTTCATGATGTTTGAGTGTGGCTGGTCTTGCCGAGCGATCTGTCAAGAGCAAGACGGTGTTGAAGCCGTACTGTGACGGCACGCAATTTCACTTGTCGCATACTATGGCAAGTAAGCGTCATTGCGGCCGAACAATGCGGGATGTAGCCTGCTAGTCCTCGTGATGGGTGGGATTGGGTAGCTGCATGGCTATACTATCGTCTTGTGCTCATTTCCGGTTGCTATGGTGGGAAACATATATAGAAGACACTTTTTACTATGAGGCTGAAGACGTCATAAGGCGTGCAAGAAGCAATCGGGCAGCCTGAAACAGTGAGGCAAGGTAAGAAGAAAAAGACGAGAAAGAAGTACGGGGGCCAAGTAATATGATTATGGGAGCAGCCGAATAAGATGACACGAGACGAGACCAAACCAAACGAGCATGTACGAGGTACCAAGAGAGCGCGGTACGCCGCTGGCGCCAACGCTGACTATGGGATTTGAAGGGTGCATCTCCGAAGCGGAATCAGTTCCACACGTGTGAACACATGTTGCACACAAGTACTTAGTAAGGCCCCAGTTGTCTGGACCCCTGACGTGAATAGTAGGATGTGTGGTATGGCTAACGACTCACAGTGCATCGGTGTTTCGAAGCCAAAAACAAGCGGGTTGTGCTAGCAGAGCCAGGCCTGAGTCAGCGCGGTATGCCCTGCATACAGTGCGAGGGGACATGGCAGGTGGCACACGGACGGAGTGCTGAGCTGAGGGGGTCGAGGCGGTCAGCCTGAGGGCGGCGCGGGCATACGCGGGCATATGGGGGGTGTCGTGATGCCCGGCAGCTCCATAGCGCGCACAGCACGGCGAGAGGCGGCCGAAATTCTCCAGGCGTGACTGGAAGCAAAAAGCAGACAGGGTGTGATGGAATGGGTTGCGAGAGTCGGTTGCTCTGCAAGCAGGTGTCTGCTATGCCCAAAGGGGCCGTGGGGCGCGTTAGCGGGATCTGGAACGTGGTCGTGCTGAGGGGACAGCTGCATGCATGCGCCAACAACTGCAGGGCAGCTGATAGACACGAGTGATTATTAGTAGCGGTAGCGAAACTCATCATGCCACCACCCGGAGCGCCGACAACCGTCACTCCTAAAGTGTGGGTAGATGGTTTAACTTACGTGCGTCGCCCTGCTGTTTTGCCTGATCGCCATCAGCGCGCTCCTTCCTCGGTGCGATAAAGACGCTCCTTCCGGTCCTCATTTCACGGCCAGGAATTACTTAGTACCCGCGCCTTCCCCAGCGACCAATTCAAACACGCCCGCAGATCCTCGTCGCCAGTCCAGCCATTGCAACATCTTTCTTGGAACTTCTCCCCAGCAACAGCCCGCTTACTGGCCGTGTGTGCGAGCTTTCTTTCTTCTTCTTTTTTCCCGGCGAGAATTAAGTTGTGTGACACTGCACTCTGAGTGTTCCGTTTTCAAACAGCTACCACACGCCACCCGTGGACGGCGCATTCTCAATAGCTCCATGGGGCCGCTTTCGTACAGAAGACGGCTTCTCATTACAAGACCGGCTGCCCAGCCTGCAAACACGGAGAAGAAGCCGGCCCCTGTCCTGTGACCCACTGCTGGCCTTTGTTGTTCACATCACATATCAAAACCCGGCACTCGCCTCGCTCTTTGACCCATGGAGCCCAACACGGAAACAATGGCTGAACGACGCAGCACGCGCAATCGCTCGACAAACGCTTCGAGCTCGACTGCTTCTGCTGCCACATATGGCTACCACAACACCTACCACACACACGCCCAGTTACCCATCGGATCACCGCCCTCGTATTCTCGCGCAATCGACCCTGAGACCCTTCGCCTACTCGATGAAAGGACCCGGACAGAGAAAGAGGCTGTTCGCAACATGTCAGCCCCTCCCCCATACACTTGCACTGTCGAGATTGGGGGCATTGTCGGCATCAAGCAAGAACTATCTTCACCCTTCCAGGTTTCAGGACATCGCGAATGGCACGATGTATATGCCATACTGCGAGGCACACAATTGAGCCTGTACCGTATAAAGAATCCGCGTCTCCTCAGCAAGAACAAGCAACCGACGCCAGGAAGATTACTGCGCACATATTCTTTGCAACACGCCGAAGTTGGCGTAGCTGCTGACTTCAAGAAGACGGCCCTAGTACCCAAGTCACCATTTGCACACCTAGTCCCGGCTGTTGCTCGGCCAAAGTTGTACGAAAGCGACCCACAGCTGTTTGAGCCGGTACGAGAACACGCACTTCGCCTGCGTCTTGAATTTGAGCAGTTCCTATTGTGTCCTTCGACCCATGAAGGCATGCTTGACTGGATAGAGTCCTTCTGCGCGGCTGTCGACATTAGTCTACCATTGGAAGACCGTAGCGAGCCCCGCTATCGAAGTTTGCCACGGAGAAGTCGGCGCCAAAGGATTCTGGAAAATGTGCAGTTTGCCGAGAACATTGAAAGTTTGACGAGTCTAGAAGCTGGTCGCCGCATCGTTGCACAACAAGAACAGATCATCCGCCAACTTTACCCCCACCTAGCCGGAACCCGAGACACGGGCTCAACCCAACCATCACCCGCGGGTGATGCGGAAATTGAAGAATTTGACCCGGAAGATGTTCGCTTTCCTGCAAGAGTGGCAAGAGATTCTTTAGTGCGCATGTCCTCTCAAGATTCCGAACTCCGCGAGGATGACTCATCCGAGAGTACATCTCCTTCGGACCCAAAGTCGACACCAGCAACACGCCCCTCGTCTGCACAGACTTTGCGATACCGCCGTCGCTGTGCGCCTGTCCTGCTCGCTTCGTCTCCGCGCGTAAGCGATGTAGTCTTTGGCAAAGGTCAACGGTTTCGTATCAGCATCAAGGCGCACATGCTTGTGGAATACACCTCCCACCCTCCACGTTACGACGCACACGGCTTCTCGAGGTCCAAGCGTTCTCCACACACCCCAATACGCCCCAACTCAGCAACGCGCGTCGCAGAAAAGACTGCCCCTGAGAATGTTACTCCAGATAGGCCGAGTTCGCCAATGCGTGGCGTCAGTGATGACTCCATTACCTCCATCTCGTTTGGCAAGGACCTGGCCACTGTGCCCTCCAAGTCAAACCCTGATGAGACGGGACAATCAGGGCCGCCATCTCCAACGACCGAGTCGCACACAAAAGTAGACGCGGCAAGCCAAATGGAGGCCATTGGTAAAACAAGGCACAGTGTGGATAGTCGTGAGAATGACTTGAATACTGTTGCACTTGGCGTAACCTTGCTCATTTGAGCTTTTTACTAGGCGTAAAGCCTAAGCATCGGGTAGCCCCCGTGATTTCCTACATTCTTTTTTGCATTCCATGGCGTGCCATCGCTTCATCATATTACTGCATCTTTCCATGCGCTTTACTGGCGTTGTCTGGTCATTTTCTTTGTTTTAGCATTTACAATGGTGTTAATAAGCCAACACGGAGATATACCCCACTTTACTTTGTACGGAACGTAGCGAGAAGATTTTGGTTAGAGATGATGGGAAAACGGAGAATTGGCGTAGATAGCTCATACCTTTGCGGCAATGATTACGCATTGATCTCAACCTCACATTTATCCATCGCACTGCCTTGACATGATTGAGCGGTGCATGCTACCGTTTTGTGACTTTAAGGCATCCCTCTCGAAGCCTGCTTCGGCTCCCACAACACTCGCCGGGTTTGTTCATGACCAAGCAGCTATGGATTTGTAACCTGGCACGCCCAGCTTATATAACCTGTTGCAGCCATACCTTACGCCCCGTCACTCCCAATTCAGAGCATACAGAACCGAATAACATTACAGACATATGCACCCCACCTGTTGGCCTCTTTCCGTTTTGGAGTACCCCGCATGTATATGTGGGTCCTGCTGACTGTATAGGAAAGAGTAACTCTACGAAAGTCTTTGGTGATAGGGTCCTTGTGACGCGACATCCTTTGTTGTGTGGGTAGATACACAGGTGAAGATGGATTTGTAATGAAGATTAGAAAGCAATTTCTCTGCTGACATGCGTGATCCTACGAATAAGAACTGGGGGCTTGGTAGACAAAAGGCATGTGTAGCAGATATATAGGTGAGCAGTGAATAAGAACTAAATCCCCATTTCTTATATTTAACACACATCTCGACATCCTTGTGTGTCTGACCGACCAATCCCTCATCCCTAAAAAGTACACACACCCATGGCCTCCAAACCCGTCGCCCTCATCCTCGGCGCAGGACCCAACCTAGGCGCCTCAATAGCAACCTCCCTCACCACCCTAGGCTACCGCATCGCCACCGCCTCCCGCAGTGGCACCGGCACTCTCGACCCCTCAACCAACATCCTGCGCCTCGGCGCAGATTTCACAACCCCCTCGTCCATCCCCCCTCTCTTCACAAAAGTAAAAGACACCTTCTCCGCCTTCCCCAGCGTCGTCATCTACAATGCAGCCACCCTGACACCCCCACCCGACACCGCAAACCCACTATCCATACCCACGGAGAACTTTGTACAAGATCTCAATGTCAACACCGTGAGTGCGTATGTGGCGGCGCAGGAGGCGGTAAAAGGATGGCAAGCGATGGGCAGCGAGGGCGGCAAGAAGACGTTTGTGTTTACGGGGAATATGCTGAATCAGAAGGTTATTCCCATGCTGAATGTTTTGACGCTGGGTGTGGGGAAGAGTGCGAGTGCGCATTGGATTGGGTTGGCGGATCAGGTTTTTAAAGAGGATGGGGCGGAGGAGTGGCGGTATGTGTGGTTTTTCTTTTCTCTTGTGTCTTGTCTTGTTTCGTAGGGGATTCGCTAATTATGGATTTAGTTTCTTCTATGCTGACCAGAGACTGTCTGATGGCGCGCCTATGCTCAATGGCGTCAGTGGTCCTGCACATGGAGAGCTCTATGCGCAGTTGGTGCAACACGAGGGTGATATACCGTGGCTGGTCACTTTTGTACAAGGCAAAGGATACGTCAAATTTTAGGTCCCACGACATGTTCGATATTTCTGACTCGATCTGAATGGTGTGGATTGGGTTTCTGAGTGAGGGGTTATCCAACAATGCATGCAATGATGCATGGTCCCAAACTCCCATCGAATTGCAATATAGTACATGTATCCCTCATGGCGTTATCTTTACATATCCCCCAACAAGTCTTCATTGTCATCGTCATTTACCCGCTTCTTCCTGCCCTTTCTACCCTTACTGCCCCTGATCTTTCGATCATCAGTATATCGTCCGTCGCGATCACCCACCAACATTCTCCCTCCTTTGCCCAGGACTCGTGCAGGACCTTCTTCCACGGTCTGGCCGTCTTTCTCGCCGACACCAATCTCAATGGTGACTCTCTTGGCCTTCTTGACTTTCCTGCCCTTCTTATCAAACTCATCGGATGGTCTACCAAGACGCACATTTCTTGGTATCCGTGTCTTTGCGCCAAGAGCCCAGAGGTCGCCCCAGCGCGCCTTGCGTGCGTCACGGTATGCTTGTTTGCTAAAGGAACGAGGGATAGTCCAACGCTCGAGTGTACCTGCTGGTGTACACATATCCATAATGATATGACCTCGTCGTTTAAGTGCTGGAAGAACAAGGCGTGGGAATGTGAGCGGGTTGACATCGTCGACTGAAGTTAAAGTGGGTTCTTCGATTTCTGTGTCTGGGCCGACATCTGCATTTTGTGTCGGAACATTCCATTCGTGTCCTTCAAAGGCCGCAGCAGTGGAATCTTCTCCCTGCACGAAACCTTTTCCAAGAATGTCGTGCTGTGGAAGGCGCTGATCGCGGCCACGTTGAACAGCGAGGTAGCTAAACTGCACATCCTCGTGATTCCTGTCCTTTGCATTGAGAATACGCTGAAGATATGGAGGACGGATGTAGCGTTGGCTGAAGAAACAAAAGTCCTTCCGTCCCTGGCTGACTCCCGGAGTCTGATACATGGGGCAGGTGCTATGATTAGTACAGGGTGCAACAATCATGCCGACTTCTTTATCGGTGAACCTGGTGTCGTCGTCTGGTTTCGACACTTGAGAATCTACCGATGTTTCAATATGCTCTGAGCTAGGAGAGGCAATGTGCTTGTCCAGAAGATATGAGCGGGCGCCAGCTATGACTTCGAAGCCTCGAGGTAGACCCTTTTCGATGAGGATCAGAACACCGCCTTTGGGATTGAGCAAGGACCAATACTTTTCAACCTGCTCCTTGCGGATATAGTCCTGTCGCAGAGGCCAGAGAGTATGCGGTGCAATGATGACATCGTAAAGCTTGCGCGGTTGCTGTGTGTTGGATTCGTCTTCGGCCGTCACTGTCTCTGGTAGTCGTGGGATGAAGGTGGTATTCTCCAATAGCTTACTCGCGCGGTGGCGAAGTGTGTCAGAGGCAGCCAGCACAGTTGCTTTGCCAAGTGGTGTGGAGCCGTGTGAAGTGTCTCCCGATTCTTCATGCATGCGCTGCCATTCTGCCTGTAGCATCTCGTGCCATGCTAGCACACCAACACCCCCTGACCCGGCGTCTAGTACGTTGCCACCTTTTTTGTTTCGCAGCATGTGCTCCAACCATCCTGTGCCCAGTCGGCGGCGAACTTCAACCATGGCACTCATGACACTGGCGTATACACCTGGCTGCACAGCCGCCATGTATACGTCGGCTTCTATGTTACCCATTTCCGACTGAGATGGGCTGAGCGGAATCGGCTTCTGTCCATTACCAAGACGTGCTGGAGTGGTGCTGGCTGAGAAGGGCAGACCTCGTCCACCAAAGATGCGATTGGCCGTTTCAGCAAGGTGTTTGTGGTTTGCTCGTGTTAAGAGGACGGCCGTGGGGTCAACGAGAGTCTCCTTGGGAAGGAACACGGTCGAGGGCGAAGGCTTGAAGCGGCCTGCAATGGTCAAAGGATGCGCTCGCATGAAGTCGTCGTCTTCCTCTGGTTCCTCGACAGTTTCCAGCCCTGCCTCTGCCTCTGCCTCTTCGTGTAGCAGTCGGCTCTGTTCGTATATGCCATCATGATAGATTTGATCCTGCTCTTCCCTGTGTGCCTCCCACTCTTCGGGTGTCATGGTCTTTTCGTCCGCCTCGGCATCTTCAGCATCCACCTCTTCGGAAGCATCGTGCTCTTCCAAGACTTCAACCTCCTCAAATTCGCCATTCTCGCCTCGCCTCAACAGAACCGTGGACCCGTCTGGTCGTTCTTCCTCAATGAGGTCTTCTGCATCTATTGTTTCAAGTTCCTGCGCATCCTCGACTGTGTCCACAAACACAGGCGCCCCGTACAGCCTCTCATAGATTATGTATTCCTCTTCAGTCAAATGGTCCCGCGGTAGCGAATCGCCAAAGTGTTGTCTCGCTCTCCGCGCATTGACTTCATGATTGACAGCCTCGGTCGCAATAGGTGGCGTTTCATCCGATGCTGTTGGTTCATCTGGTTCCGATTGCCTCGTTGCAAGTGTGGTTGAGAACGGTCTTCGTGGCGTCGAGAACCTGGAAGCCGCCGGTCGTGATTGTGGCGCGCTTGGTCGCTGGAGGGGTAGTCGTGCACTACGCGCTCGTGAAATGGCGATATTTAGACGACATGATGCGCATATTGACTGCACGCTCCTTGTCTTTAGCATCTTAACCTCAGCACAGCGATGCTGTCGAGCGACCTGGCAGGGCGCCTGCGCCGCAAACAAAAGTTCGCCGCATCTTCACTCCAGGGTCCACGCTATGGGTGTTTCTCGAAATACCTTGAGCCACCTGGATCTGGTTGGCTTGGTGGCCAAGAACATCAACTCCTATAGTAATTTGTTAGTAAATCGATGCAGCCACGCTTTCTAACACCCACAACGTATTTGAAGTTCATTGTTTGCTGCGATCGCCTCTACTGACTCGCGTTTTTGGTGTTGCAATTTTCTCGAGCCCATCTCATCGCGATGCCAGGCACCGGCCACCGCTTGCAGCCCGCTGTTCTCCAGGCTATCCTCGACCGAATTGCTGCCTGCGAAAGTGATCGAGCCATCTCTAGAGCTACAGGTGCGAGCCGTAACACAGTAGCAAAGCTGAGGTTGAGCTTAGAGTTTTGGGGCGTGCCTTATCCGCCGCGCTGCGTTCGACTTGGGCGGCCATCTATACTCCGGCAAGCTCAGCGCGAAGGCCTTCAGGCATACCTCAATGGCTCACCGGGCGCATACATGGATGAGATGAGGGACTTCTTGTACGACGAGTACGACGTTAGGATAAGCCTTGCGAGCGTTTACCGAGAGCTAGAGAAGATGAGATGGTCTCGCAAGCTTGCAACAAAGCGGGCAAAGGAGCAGAGTGAGCCACTCCGCCGCCTCTATCTTGCCAGGATGGCGCAACACTATAAGGCGGAGCAGATCGTTGCGTTGGACGAGAGCGCCTGCAATGAGCGTACGGGCGACCGCAAGTATGGCTGGTCTCCAATCGGGGAGCCGGTGGAGCTATCACACAGCTTCAGGCGATCAGAACGGTGGTCGCTGCTGCCAGCCATGACGATAGATGGCTACATAAGCTATAAGATCTTTCAAGGCGCGATTACATCTGAGATCCTAGAAGACTTCTTAGAGTTTCAAGTGCTGCCGTTCTGCAATCCTCACCCAGGGCCAGCCTCAGTAATCGTGCTTGATAACGCCTCCATCCATCGATCAGAGCGTGTACGGGTGCTTTGCCAAAGTGCTGGAGTACTCCTTGAGTATCTGCCGCCATACTCACCAGATTTCAACCCCATCGAGAAGAGCTTTAAGCAGCTCAAGGGGTGGATGAAAAGGAATTCAGCGCAAGCGGAGAACTTCATTGACTTTGGGGTCTTTCTTGAGTATGCAGCGCAGCTGGTGTGCTGTAATATTAACTGCAGAAGCTGGTTCCATAGGTGTGGCTATCCCTATTAATTGTGCTTTTAAATGGATGCCACAGTACGTTTCTATAGGTAGATGATACCATACAAATGCGAACGATTACACCTTAATGCGCAACCCACAAAAGCGATTTAATAATTCTAAAAAAATAAGAGCTATTTCTATACATATAGAACTATCTTAGGAAGTTAACCTGTTATAATCGCATAACGTTGTAGTGTTGTACATAGGGCTATCCAAATAGACTATTGTTGCAGCGCATTTGAAACGCCTGAAAAACCTCAACACTATAGCGGGCACGGGCCGCTGTCACCAAAAACGCTCAGGCCACTAAGCTTCAAGCATTCTCGCCATCATCCTCCACAACACTGCTAGACGGTTCAACCACCAATTTCTTGCGCGCAATCTCTTCTCTTTTCTTACAACGTTCGACTCGTCTCCAGTTACGATCTGTGAGACCCTGGTACCCAGCTTGCCATTCTTTTGCAGTGTTTTGTAGCGTGAAAAACCAGCCAGGAGGCTGCTTGAAATGCTGCGTCCACAACTTCAAGATATCACCAGATGGCTGCATCAAGAGGTTGATATCCATAGCTCCGTCAATAACAAGAGTCTTATAAAGCTCGTTAATGTCCTCTCCAACTGTAGGAAATTTTAACTTAAGGTAGTTAAAGAAATTACTAGTATGCTCGTTAATCTCCTGCTCATGATCATATCGGATAGGCGCCCACTGAGATGCACTAGATACCTCAGCTCTTGTTATCGTTGGTGCAGCTGCCTGCAAGTTAGACTCCTGTTGAGGTTGCCTGTTCATCCGCTCAAGCTGTCCAACGATGAGCAGTTTTGTTAAGCTTTTGATATCATCGTCGCCATCTCCAGCCGCCCGCAACTTGCGCGTTTTCTCATGCACCCGCAGGTCCTTTGCTCTCAAAATTGCAAGCCGTACATCATCAGATGGCTCATCGTACGTTGCCCTTCTCGCTGTAATTGCTCTTGCCCACATGGAGATAATGTTGCCGTTGACAAAGAGGTGATCTTCGAAGCGCGCTGGCTGCCTCGCTGTTGGCGCCATCCAGCAGCAATAAGGATAGTTCTCGCAATGGGTATCTGTACAGCGCCATCTATCCCGGATAGCAATAGCATGCCCGCTACCTGCTTGTTCAGCTGCTATTACACCAGCAAGCCCCTCCTCTTGAATCACCGTTGCGGTGCGTCGACGAGGACCGTCGACAACCGTTGGCAACGGCTGCTGCTCCCCTGGAATTTCAGCCAAGATGAGCTCGAAATCGACGTTTACTGGCTCGCTGACATAGTTATCAACCTCTACAACAAGGCGCTGAAAGCTATTCCACGTTGCATCAACACCTCGCCGCAATCGCTTTATCGCGCGCTCGCGTTTGGCCTGCTTAGCTGGGTAAACAACAGTGCAAACAGATGAGATCTTCGCTCTTTTTGGCCGTAATTCTGCAACAACGTCATCTACCCACTGCCATAGGTCGTCGAAATGCAGCGAGTACAGCCGTACGCCGTGCTCGCTATCGGCAGCTTCAGGAATAAAGTGTTTCTCCATATCACCACCAAGGCAAGCCCTCCACCTAACGCGCAGTACAGGATTAACCTCATCCTCTAGCGCTTGCGATGAGCGAGGCAGCCATGGAGTGCCTTCTTGACGTCGGTACGCTGGCTCTCCCTCATCCTCAACACTACCGGCAGCGCCCTTAGCAGCGATCTCATCCTCATCCTCAGGCAGCGGATCGCCATCTCCATCCTCGAAAGTATCCTCATCCTCGCCAACGATATCTTCAGCTTGCGCGGAGGCAGCTGTTTGGGTGGCTTGCAGCTCAGGCTCGGACAACGGGCTTTGACGGCGCGGCGGGGCAGTCGCTGGAGGCGACGGCAGCGCCTCACGGCGGACACGTTTAGGCGTTAAATGGGTAGGATTTTGTCTAGTTGCTGGCGCTCTACGCTTCTGGGAGGACGGGTTAACGCCTTGATCGAATGGCTGCTTCGGCTTACGCTGGCGCTTGGGCGGCATCCCAACAGCAGCTAGATTGAGCTCGCAACAAGCTCCACACAAACAAAACGCTATACACGAACGATTTAGAGTACAGGACTAGCTTCATGGGCTTCTGGAGGTGGGAAACGGCTGCTGCATTAATTTACTAACAAATTACTATGGGAGTTGATGTTCTTGGGCACCAAGCTAACCAGATCCAGGCGGCTCAAGGTATTTCGAAAACCACAATAAGCCTCGCACATCATCACTTCCGTCCAATCGTACCTCAGCTATTTGCGCACCCCACATCGCCCATTTAGTCGCTGTCCCTATCGCTGTCACCAAGTAATCATTGTAAAGCCAGCCTCGGTTATTGCTTACGCATATCTATCTCAGAATAGTCCTCCTGCATCATCTATCGTGTTATTGATCTTTGAGTGCCACCTCGGCTGCGGCGAGCTTCTGCCCCCACCAACTGCGCTACTTGCCTGTTTACTCAACGTGAGAATAGCCAAATTTATTTAAAGCAGTATCCCATAGTTCTCCAACTTGTTTATATTTGTACCTACAAGTTGCACAGGAGCTGTTCTTAGTCATCCCATCTCCACTTAGTCACATACGTCTCAACGCCCCCGCTTCTTTCTCATCATCACTCTTGTATTCTCTATTCCCTTACAATTAATCAAGATTTCCAAGATGAAAGTATCGCCTGATTACGACTACTCGTCACTAAAGGAGGTGCTCAGTGATACAAGTGCCAAGGTCCTCCTTCCTGGTGACGGTCAGGAATACGAGAAAAGCATTGAAAGATGGAGCGAGCACTGCATCAAGCGAGCCGTAAGTGTACTAGATTTTAGGAGCCTTCTCCGAATACCTGGAATCGATGGGAGAAAGAGATTTTGAATCATTATGGCTCTTTACATAGAGCACTTGGGTTTACATTGCTGTACCACGCTCAGAAACTAAGACGAGATTAGGCTGCTGTCGTCAAACCCACTACGGCTGATGATGTGTCTGCAACCCTCGCACAGATACGCAAGCGTAGTATACCTTTCACTGTTCGTGGCGGAGGTCATTCCACTTCTGGTGCTGCGTCCATCGAGAATGGCATCGTTATCGATCTCTCCGAGATGCGTAAAGTCACAGTAGATCCTGAAGCTAAAACCATTGCTGCTGAGGGCGGTGCGCTCTGGGAAGATGTAGACGTTGAAGCAGCCAAATACGGTCTTGCAACGGTGGGGGGTACCGTCAACCACACTGGTGTAGGCGGTTTGACCCTCGGAGGTGGCTACGGATATCTTACGGGAAAGTACGGGCTCACTATCGGTATGTCTCTTTGTCCCAGAGTAATTTTAGCATACATGACTAAGACTACCCAGACAACCTCTTGTCTGTCAATATCGTCCTCGCTTCTGGGGAGCAAGTTATTGCATCAGCAAGCTCAAACCCTGACCT